GAAAAGAATTATATATTCGAAGATATAAGCAAAGCATCCGAAAAAATCTAACTTTTTTAGGAACTGAATATTTTCAGATATTTTTTCTATATATTTCAATATACATAGGCAATATGTATAGCAAAAGAAAGATATTCCAAAGACCTTTCATTTAATAGGAATATTGTCTAAGAAAATAATTGTATTTTCAAAGATATAAGCAAAATTCCGAAAAAAATAAGATTTTTTCAGAATCAGAATATATTTCGGATGTTATACTATATATATGGCTTTACATAAGCGATATGTATATCAAATGAAAGATATTCGAGACATCTTACATTTGCTATACATATTGTCTAAGAAAAGAATAATATTTTCGAAGAAAATTCCGAAAAAACCTAGTTTTTTCCGGAATCAAAATATATTTCCGAAGGTTTTATATATATGTAGATATGCTTAGGCAATATGTATATCAGAAGAAAGGTATTGAAAAGAGCTTTCAGTTGATGTACATATTGTCTAGGAAAAGATTTATATTTTCGAAGATATAAGCAAAATTTCGAATAAATCAAGATTTCTTCAGAATAAGATTAAATTTTGGATTTTTCAAATATTTCGAATAGGCAATATGTATATCAAATGAAAGCTATTTAAAAGATCTATCAGTTGATATACATATTGTCTAGGAAAATAATTATATTTGAAGATATAAGCAAAAATCCGAAAAAACCCAAGTTTTTTTCAGAATCAGAATATATTTCGGATGTTTTTCTATATATTTAGATATACATAGGCAATAAGTATATCAAATGAAAGATATTCAAAAGGTCTATCATTTGATATAGATTGAGTCTGTAAAATAAGCTACTTGTTAAAGAAATATCCAAAATTATGTTAAAAACTAGAATTTTGAGGATTTTACTCATATCTTTAACATTTTTGAGCAGAATTGAGAATTTAAGAAAATTCTTTAACTGTCTGCCTATAATTTCCCTAACACACTTATTTTCTTAAAAAATATTCCAAATTTTATGATTTCCAACCATAAAATTCTATAAATCTTTTAAGGAATTTAAAAAAATTTATTTCTTCAGAAAAAAATTATTACGCCTTAAAATTAAACCAAATATTAATTGTTGTTGTTTTAGTTTCAAAAAAAAAAAAAAAAATTATACAAAAAACTCTTTTTTCTTTTCTAATGGCAGTTTGCCAACTAGAATAATATCGAGAATAAACACAATATTTTTTTCTTTTTGGTTAATCTTTCAAAACACATCATCATAGTTTTGACACTTTTTTCTTGTTGTAGCTGAAATGATAATTTCATTTCAAATTTTTATTTCGATATTTTTTTCAAATGTTTGCTGCTGCTGTTATTTATTTTCACTTTTCAAGTTGTTGTAAAGGTCGCTGTCATTTGTAATTAATTATAAAAAATAAATACAACAACAATAGCAAATTTTTTTGAGACCATTTACATTTAGTATTTGAAGGTTGTTGTACTTTTAATGGTATGTAGAATTAAAAAAAACATTTGAGTTTATTTTGCTCTTATTTTTAAACAAATTTCCAATTTCATGGTGATGAAATAGATGTAAACTTTTTTTCTTTAGGTTTAAATTTTTATTTTTTTAATTTACTACAGAATTAGTTTTGGGATTAAAAGGAATTTTATCTTCACTAAGGAATTTTTTTTGTTTGATGTTCTGAAGATTAAAAAATATATTTTCAAAATATTTACAATATGTCTGTGTTGAAAACAAGTTTCTGAAATATTTAATATTTATTTCAAATGAAAGATATTTAAAAGACATTGTCTAGGAAGAAAATTATATCTTCAAAGATATAAACAAAATTCCGAAAAAATCAAGATTTTTTCAGAATAAAAATATATTTTGGATGTTGTTCTATATATATTGATATACATAGGCAATATGTATATCAAAAGAAAGCTATTAGAAAGAACTTTCATTTAATATACATATTGTCTAGAAAAACAATTATATGTTCCAAGATATAAGTTAAATTCCGAAAAAAAACAAGATTTTTTCAAGATCTAAATATATTTCAAAAATGTTTTCTATATATTTTGATATACATAGGCAATATGTATATCAAATGAAAGATATTCAAAAGACTTTTCATTTGATATACATATTGCTCAAGAAAATTCCGAAATTTTTTTTTTCACAATTTGACTATATATTCTCGGATGTTTTTCTAGATATATAAGGGCAATATGTATATAAAAAAAGCTATTGAAAATACCTTTCATTTAATATAGATTTTGTATTGAAAAATAATTATGTTTTTTAAATGTAAAGACATTTCAAGTTAGCGATAGTTTTAGATGCTTAAATCTCTGTCAGATCGTTAAAGTCCGGGGTGGCAATAAAACGTTCCATATTTTGAACGGATAATTGAACTGAAAACCTTGTCTTAAGTCTCAATAAAACCAAATTGTAGTATAATTAATGAAAAAAACATTTAAGGCAAAGAATTATCTGAAAAAGCATATATTGCGACTAATAAGACTTCAGTTTAATTACAAGTTTCGTCATAGTTACAACGTTACATTTTTGAATAGAATATTGAATAGAAAACTTTGCCTGAGGTCCCAAGAAAACTAAATTCTAATAAAATTAATGAAAAAGCATTTAAGGCAAACAAATTTCTGAAAAAGCAGTTAACTATCGACTGATAAGACTTTAGTTTAATTAAAATTTTCGTCATAGTTACAACGTTCTAACTTTGAACATAATATTCAATGGAAAACCTTGCCTGGAGTACCAAGAAAACTAAATTGTTGTATAATTAATAAAAATCATTTAAGGCAGAGAAATTTTTTGAAAAAATAACATCTTACTACCGACTGATTAGACTTCAATTTAATTAAAATGTTCGTTATAGTTACAACGTTTTATTTTTGAACAGAATATTGAATGGCCTGAGGTCACAAAAAAACTTAATTCTATTAAAATTAATTAAAACTTATTTAAGGCAAAAAAAAATTCTTTAGAAAACTTCTTATTATCGATTGATAAGACTTTAGTTTAATTAAAATTTTCATCATGGTTACAACGTTCTAACTTTGAATAGAATAATGAATGGAAAACCTTGCCTGAGGTCCCAAGAGATCTAAATTGTAGTATAATGAATGGAAACTCATTTAAGGCAAAGAAATTTCTTTAAAAAAACATCTTACTATCGCCTGATAAGACTTCGGATTAATTAAAATTTTCATCATAGTTACAACGTTCCATCTATGAACATGGAAAACCTTGTTTGATGGTGCCAAGAATACTAATTTGGTAGTATAATTAATGGAAACTCATTTAAGGCAAAGAAAAACAACGAACTAACTAACGACTCATGTAACTTCAGTTTAATTAAAATATTTGTCATAGTTACAACGGTTTAATTTTGGAATAGAATATTGAATTAAAAACCTGGCCTGAGGTCCCAAGAAAACTAAATTGTAGTATAATTAATGGAAACTTATTTAAGGCAAAGAAATTTGTAAACTAAAGTTGATTAAGGCGTCTTCAGTTTAATTAAATGTTTCGTCATAGTTACAATTTCGATTTAAAATATTACTAAGGGGAACAAAACTTTTTGTTAGAGTTAGTTTTTTGGAAAAAAAGCTATTACAATTTTAAACTACATATTTTGAAGAAAATCATTTATCAAAATTTTTTTTCCCAAAACTTAAAATAAAACAAATAACACGCGTTTAGCCACTACATACTAACTAAATTTAAAATCTGCAGTAAAAAATTTCCTCTACTAGATTTGTTGACATTATTATTTAATTGTCTCTGATAATTTAGTTTCCAAAAAAGGTGTGTCTGTCTCTTTCACTTTCTATGAACGAAATAAATAGCGATTGCCTGCTATCATCAAAATCATGACGTATGCCTTTTTTCACTCTAAATTTGAATACTACAACTGATTCATACCAAAAATTACTAAATATTGAATATGTATTCAAAATCCATAGTAACAGCAATAGCTACTTGAAAAAATTTTTTATTAAAATTTGTTGTTATTGTATGTTGGTTTAATTAATAAATTTTATGAACAAGTAAGCGCAAAAAGAAAGAAAAATGACGTCATTTATTAAAAATTTCAAAGATAAAAACTGTACGTTTTTTTTTCAATTTTTTCAATTTAATTTCAAGAATTAAAAATAACAAAAAAAACGCATATTAAAATCTAAAAATATAAAAACAAAATAAAAACACACATGATGAACAAAAAAAAAAAAAAAAAAAAAAAAAAAGACTTAAATAATGATGGCGGCTAAATTGAGGACATTTTTAAAGAATTAACAAGAATATAAATAAATAAATAACAAATAAAAACAAAACAAATTAATGTTTAAAACAAAATAAATTGAAAAGAAAATTTGAAAATGCGTTCAAAATTATCTCTTTTATTTGAGAGAGAGAAATTTTTTTTTTTTTCTTGAGAAAATGAGCAAATTTGTTTTTCTCTTGCTTTTGGGAAACATTGTTTAAGGCTAAAAGAAAACTTTTTTTCGGACTTTTTAATGAAATTGAATTTCGAATTTTCGAACTTAAGGCTGTTAGTGATCTTGAAGCTCCATAGGCCCTAGTATACAGTGTAGACAATATTGCGTTGTTCACTTTGAGCATAAACTTGTAGCTAAACAGCCACATTTACTTTTATACACGGCAAAATTGATTTTCAAATCCCAAACAAATCTGATATATATATATATTTTTATTGTGGATATTGTGGAAACAAAACAAAAACAAAAAAATTTTGACTATAATAATTGTGTTATGAATATAGAGCAAGAAATAAGCAGATTGCTAACGCCCCAAATATATACAAACAAAAAACGCCAGCAGACCATTAAAGAGTCATCGTTTTTAGCATTGAGAAAAACTAAAAATTTTCTTCACATTTGACCGCGTGGTTTTTCTTATAAAATTTTCTTATAATTTAACTAAAATTTGCATTTTTTTTCTTTTAAAATTCTTTTTCAACAGATTAAACGACTCTCTGAAAGAAAAGGATAGTCAGGTTGGTCGTGATTTGGATGAAATAGAGGCCATTTTCCATAAAATCTCTGCTTTACAAGATAAATTCAACAGTTTATTGGAGGAAATCCACGCTGTACATGCATTTGATGAGAACATTGTACAAACAGAAAGCAAACTCACAGAATTGGAGCAACAAGTTTTGGCCACAGTTAAGGAAGCACAAAGTTTAATCAAGCACACCAAGGAAACATATTTAAAGAAACAAAATCTAATACCCAGTGATATAGATCAGGAATTTACGGCATTGGAACTACTATCCGAACGTGTACAGGGCAATATGGAAACGAAACAGAAAGAATTCAAACGCGCCAAAACTGTACGTACAGACTATTTGGCGGGCGTAGATGAGATACAAAGATGGCTAATGCAAGCCGAAATGGAGGTACAAGATCGTACCTTGGCACCGGCACAAATGAAAGAACTATTGCATCGTATTAATCAAGAGATAACCGGCATATATGAACGTTTTACCATGGTCAAAACCAACGGACAACTGATCATTGACAATTGTCGCAATAGTGAGGAGAAACTTTTGGTACAGACCACCATAGATCAATTGGCTCAGCAGTTGGGTCAAGTACGCTCCTGGTTAGATGAAAAGAAACAACAAGTGGGTGATAGTTTAGATGCCTGGTCTAGATTTATGAATCTCTATCAGATTGTTATGTCTTGGGTGGCCGATAAACGTCTCTTCCTGGAACAGACTATTGAATTGAAAACCTTGCCTGAAGCCCGCACTAAACTAAATGATTATGTAGTGGCTGTGAAGAGTATTAAACCGATTGTTAAGAATTTAAGCGAAATGGATAAGGAATTGGAACACATTAGTCAGGTAACAACAGTGGGTGATCTCAAGGATAAATTGCAAGAAGCAGAAGAGGCCAAATTAACAGTGGAAGCTGTCTTATTAGAAAGGGTAAGCTGGAAAGGGGAGTTTTGAATATTTAATTTTAAATTGTAACTTATTTTCTTTATAATTTAGAATGCCTTATTGCAAGAAGCTTGTGAAGAATGGGATCAATGTGAACGTAAAATTAAGGACATACGCAGCTGGATAGAAAAGACCAAACAATCTATGGAATCACCACAACATAAAAAGAAACCGCTAAGAGATCAATTGGGCTATTCGGAAAAAACCATGGGCGATATTAATGTACAGAAAACTAAATTAAGACTGTCTATAGAAAAGTTAGAGGTAGGGACCTAAGAAATTGTTTAAACAATTAGATTTAGATTAGATTACTTGATTTTTGTTACTTTTTAGGTACATTTCAAGAATGGCATGGGTGGTGATCCACGCTTAAGTGAAAATGTTGATGAATTATTAAAGGAATTGGATGGTTTGGCGGTATTAGTGAAAACTAAATGCTCTAGCCTAGAAGAGACCCTACAACAAATCGATATATATCAACAGCAAATGCAAACCTTAAGGCAAAAGATCATACAAGAAGAACAACAATTGAGACTGGTAATGGCACCCACCTATTTGCCGCACGAACGTGAACGTGCTATGGCCGAACAACAGGTACGTTTTTATTTAAGTTTAAGTAGTAATTTTTTTTTTTTTGTTTGATTAGGTTTTTTTTTTGTTAAATGAAAGGTTTTTTTTAAAAAAAAAACAGAGTTTAGGTTTAAAAACTAGGTGAAAAGTTATGTTTTAGAGTTTTTAGGAAAATTCCATCATTTTCAAATGCATTTTGTATTTTAACCTGTAGCAAAAAAAAAACTAACTAAACAGCAACTTATTAACTGTTTTGAGAAACTAAGAACACTTAAGCTTTAGTTTTAAACTTTCAAGCAAGGTGGTTTTTTTTTTAACTCCCTTTTTGCACGGTGGCTGCATTGATGATTATTTAAAGTAGTAACATTTAAATATTTGATTTAAAAATTATTTTTTATGTTAAATTAGTTTTCTTTTAGTTTGTTTATATTAAAGCTAAAACGCCTACATTTTTTTCATATAAAATCCCCTACTATATGTTTCTAACTTTCTTTAACTTTATCATTATCATCATCATCTTCCTCATGGTCGTCATATTGCCATACATTTTACTCATTTATAATAATTAATAATTTCCTTTAAAAAAGCATAATCATTATAATCATCATCATCATCATTATTATAATCATCTATATTCCTTCACTTATTTGTATTTGTGTGTGTTTGGTTAGACATTTTAAGAAAATTTAAAAAAAAAAAACTTTAAAAAATTTATTTTATATTCTCCCTAGTAACTTAAATAGACATTTGTTTGAGAAGAAAATTTTCATAAAATATAATTTATCACGTGACACGTGCCAACAACAATTTATCTGAAAAAAGAGGCTAAATTTTGTGTTATACAGACAGACTTTAGAACTTGAGTATTTTTATAAATTGTTTAGCTAATTTTAGATTTTTTTTTCTTTTCGAAAATATATGTATTTTACCTTGAATAGGTTTTTTTCACTTGTTTCAATTTTATTTTAAACTTTAGGAAATATTTTAAAGTTATTGAAATATTTATGGTTAGTTTTTATAATATTTTTTATATATATGTAAAAATTTTATATTGCAAGAATTTTGCAATTAAGGGTAAGTTTTTTTTTTATATACATATTAATTTATAAACAAAAAAAATTTAAATTTTAAATAAAATATATTTCTATTTTAAAATTTTTAACTTGAAAGTCTTAAAATTGTTAGTTTAAATTGTAGCCAGAGACACTTTAAAAGTTGTTAGTTCAAAAATTCAAATTCACTTCATCACTTTTCATCACTTCTTTAAGCACTTATTTACATTCTAAACATAATACATTTCATATGGCTTATTTAATTAGTTTGGTTATGGTTAAAACTTAAAAAAAGCTTTTATTTAGTTTAATAATAATTTCTGTTTTTTTATTATGGGATTTTATTTTTTATATGGTTTTATTTTTAAGTTTATTACTTTTTTTAATTTGGTTTTTATTTTTGACGAAAAAAATATTTTCTTTTTTTTTTTTTCTTTTTATCAACAAAACATTTTCACTCAAAAAATATATAATTTTTATACAAAAAATATAAAAAAAATTTATTTAAACAAACAAAAAACAAAAAAAAAAAACTTGTCAAAAACAAAAACCTGGTGTTGTTGCTCTACTCTGCTAAATAAAAAAAAAAAAAAACAAAACGGTATTGGTATAAATAAATTATTGTCCACATTATCATTTTTATAAAAAAACTAAATTTTTTTATAAACAAATTAACTTAAATAACTCTACACTAAAATAAAACTTTCATTATATTAATGTAACTTTTTAACTGTCTTAATAACTGCTTGTTTAAATGCTTAACCAACTCTTTCACTCTCTCTCTCTCTATTACTCTTACGCTGTTTTTCTCTTTATACATATAATGATTGCCTTCTTCTTTGTGGGGTTTTATGGGGTTTTCTAAAACCTTTATATTAAATGCTTGTATTATATATATATATATATATTATAACTACAACTTTTTTTATACCTTGATGTCTCGCTCTCTCTCTCGTATATTTGTTTATATATATCATTTGTAATGAAACGTTAAAAAACAAAACTCATTAGGCATGTCGGGAACGTGTAAAGAATCTGCACTCAAAAATAACCGCTCGTAATGAACGTATTAAGCTAATGATACATCGTGGCACGCCCGATGAAACTGTATTAGAGTTATAGACCCTTTTATTTTTCTTTATTTTGGAACACCTCTCGTATTCTTTTTGTTTTCATTTAGTTTTAAGTCCTTAATAATAAGCAGCAGCAGCCACCGCTAAATACAAAGCAGTTTTGGTTTTATACTAAATTTCAAAAAAAAAAAAAAAAAAAAAAATTTCATAAAAATTTATTTACAAAGCAAACTCCCATTGCTTTACTTTAAACTAAACTTGATAAACCTCTTCAGTTCCAAGTATTAAACCAAAATGCTTTGTTTTATTAGTTTATAAAAAAAAATATATATATATTTATTATATTATTATTATTTTCTATATATGTATGTGAGTGCATATATATAAAAATTTAATTTTAAAATAAAAAAAAAAAAACAATTTTTAAATTAAAAATCATAAAATTTTTTTTACCCTAAACCCTTCACTCAGTTATGACCTGGTTTATTTAAATAGGTTTTTACTTTTCCTTAGATTTTTAGCTATTGTTAGGAGTTTTTGTTTTTTTCTTAATGTTGTTTTTGTTTAGGTCTTATATAAACTTAAAATGTTCTATCTCACCTAACGTTTTTTTGGCCAATTTCCATATTATTTTCTATTGCCAACGACTAGGCTCTGCGTGCGTCTGTTGATGATATGCAACAAAGATATGATGTAATTGCCGCTCTATCTTATACCCTGGATCCACATTCGGTGGTAGCCACTTCGTCTTCGGTCTCAATGATGTTGAAACCCTCAAAATTAGGTCTAACCTATGCTGAGGTATTAGGTGGTCACTCCTCGCCCAACGAAAGTCAAACTCAAAAAAGCACAAGTCCGGTTTATGAAGGTCAAACTGTTACAACAGAAAAAGAAATGCCTAAAGTGCAGGAAAATGTTAAAACAGAAGAATATATTGATGAGTTTGGCAATAAACGCACAATAATTACCACCACCACAAAGACCACCACCAGCTCGACCACCACTACCAACCTACCAAACGAATATCAATTGTATAAGGCTCGTGAAAGTAATAGGGAATATAAGGAAAATGTTGCACAACATGAATTAAAGGTGGACAGTGAATATGATTATAATGTTCCTACTAAATTAGAAGACCCCCAACAACAACAACAACAACCACAAGTTTATAGACAAGAACCGCAGGTCGGTAAGCATCATATACAAGTGCCTAGAGAGCAGCAAAGAGGTCGTTCACCTAGACGTAAGCAACACAAACCAACACAACGTCATCAACCAAGCGGTAAGGAACAAACAGAAATTAAGATAGAAACCACTAGCACACCCCACTATGAAACGAAAACCAGTGTTAGTGAACAACATACCAGAACAACAACAACACAATTATTGTTGCCCGAACAAGATAGAGCACGCTCAAAGAGCCCCATATGGGTGCCAGGTTCCACCTCATATGCTGAAGTATTAAGAGGTTTGGAATTGGAAAGACTAAGACAGCAATCACTAAAAGAAAATGCTATGTTGCAACAACAGCAACAGGAACAACAACAACCTCAATATGACTTACAAATAGAAACTCGTGTAATACCGCAAGAAACGGTTACAGAAAAGGTGCAGGCGCCTTTACAAAAACCCACAACGGTTAATCAAACTGAGGTTACAAGCGCAACAACAACAACGACAGCAACAGCAACAAGTATGTTAAACTATTACACTGAAAATGTACAGCCTTCATCCTCATCAGCCTCATCTACATCGCCGCTGCAACAAGAATCGGTGGCTATGCAGGAAATCGTTAGCACTCATAGCCTAACTGATGCAGGCACCACCTATACTAGTACTTACAATACGAACATTCCCATGACGGCTGAGGAAATACAAGCCACTTACTTGCAGCCAGATCTTAAACTCTATCAGTCAATGTATGAAAATTTGACCGACAGTGAACAGTGGGGTTATGTGACTCCAGCACCAGTGGTGCCGGTGCAACAATCACCATCTGATACTTTCTATGAGCAAATGATGCAAGTGCAATATACACAACCCACTGCTATGACAACCACTTATACGGGTTATCAATATCCTACACAAGCGGCGCAATACCAATTGGTAGCTGCTACCGCCGGTTATTATAATCCCCAACAAACTCAAACACCAACGGAGGCCTATCATTCCGTTTATGCCCCCACTACAGAACAAATGTATTACAATCAACAGGCCCCACAAAGCGATTATCAACAATATGCTTATGAACAAGTGGCCCAGGCTGTTCAACAACAGCAACAACAACAACAACAGCCTCAAACTGAAACATATCAAAATGTTTTAAATGATCCTTTGCAGGTTGAGTCCACTTTAAATAATGTTGAAACCACTTTAGCCTCCATGATTCAACAGACAACTGTTACATCTACTACTACTACTACACATATGCAAACTCAACAAGAGGAAGTGGCTCTGTATGAGCCCCAAGAGATACAGGTTGAAGAACCTATACCCGATATAACATTCGGACAATTTGATATTAATGAAATTGAAAATATACCACAAGAAAACACTATGCCACAGACTGATAATGTTACCCCAGTAACAGAGAGCATAGTGGAAACTGTACCACAAACTCAAGCACAGAGTCAAACTCAAACACATACTCAAACACATACTCAAGAGTATGTGACTTATGTGCCGGAACCCGCGTATCAGCAACAAGCCCAAATTGTAGAAAAACCAGAACCGCAAATAGCGGGCACTACATATGCCGAAGTTTTATTCGGCTTAAAACATGGCCAACATTTCCAGCCATCCAGCCAACAACAGGTCCATGTTAAAGTTATGCAAACAACACAACCACAACAAATTAAAAAACCAACAACAACAACATCAAACAATCAGACAACACACTCCCAACCCCAAGAAACGATTACGACAACATTAACAACGACAACAACGACTGTGACGAACAAACAACATAAAACTAAACAACAACAACACCAACAACAAAGATTCAAATCTCCTGCTGATCATTTACACAGATCAGGAGACGAGAGTCGTCCAAAATCGCAAACGCGTCATACAGAGAAATTTATGAAAGAAATGATAACGGGCCATTCAAATGTTTATGGAGAGACCACGGTGGTAGAGTCAAAGCCACACAAAACGACATCTACTGCCCTGGAAACATTTGAAAAGCCTGAGGAAGTACATAAACCCAAAGCTAAGAAACCGAAAAAATCTCGAGAAGAAACCGCAAAACCCGTCTCTTTACAAGACTTTTTAAATATTGAAAAACAACACGTGACCGAACAACACTACTCACGAACAACTGTTGAAAGTCAACAACAGAAAAACACTAGCTCGGAACACAAGAAAGACAAAACCAAGGAAGCGAACAAGAAAAAGGTTAAACCAGAAACTGTTACTTCCAAAGTTGAACCCGCTAAGGAACAACCCAAACCGGAGGTTGGCAAAAAAGATAACAACACCAAATCCTTGGCTGATGTTGTTAAAGGTGAGATAACCGATTTAGTGGGAAAATTGTTGCCCTCCAAGAAGAGCAAAAAAGATAACAGCAAAAAGGAAACAGTAGAAGCTCCGGTCACCACTGTAGAGGTGACAGAAACTAAAGTTGTCAAAGACAAAAAAGAAAAACCTAAAAAAGAGCAAACTTCTACTACTGTTGAAGTTTCGGAAACTAAACCTATTAAAGACAAGAAAGATAAAACTAAGAAGGAACAAGTGGAACCACCTGTTACTGTTGCTCCCACTGAAATTAAAGAAACCAAACCTGTTCAAGATAAAAAAGACAAAACTAAGAAAGAACCAGTAACAGCAAACACTCCCACAGAAACTTCAGAAACCAAACCCGTAAAAGACAAAAAAGAGAAAACTAAAAAGGAGCAACAACCTCAAGCTCCAGCAGTAGAGGTTGCAGAAACTAAACCTGTTAAGGAAAAGAAAGATAAAAATAAGAAAGATCAAGCACCAACACCAGTAACTACGGTAGAGGTTGCGGAATCAAAACTTAGTGATATTAAATCCGAAGTTAAACATGAAAGTGTTGTCCAGGCAACATCCACAACAACAACAACTACAACCATGAAAAACTCTACTACTCAGTTTATTGAAAGCGAAAAACAAACAGCGGTAAGCCAAACTAAGGATAAGAAAACTAAAAAGGCTCCAGAAACCGAAAAACCTAAAACTGTAGAACCACTAGAAGAAACTCAGCAACCAAAGAGTAAATCAAAGAAAAAGTCTCAAGACAAAACTAAAGCTCCTCTAGAGGAAGCTACAGAACCTAAACCACAAGAGAAATCCTCTGAAAAGACAGTTGAGAAAGTTACAGAACCTTCCACCAAACCACAAGAGAAATCTTCTAAAAAGACAGTTGAGAAAGTTACAGAACCTTCCGACAAACCACAAGAGAAACCTTCCGAAAAGTTAGTTGAGGTTGTAGAGGAACCACAAGAGAAACCCTCTGAAAAGACAGTTGAGGAAGTAAAAGAACCTTCCACCAAACCACAAGAGAAACCTTCCGAGAAGATAGCTAAGGTGGTAGAAGAACCACAAGAGAAACCCTCTGAAAAGACAGTAAAGGAAGTAACAGAACCTTTCACCAAACCACAAGAGAAGCCCTCTGAAACGACACTTAAGGTGGTGGAAGAACCACAAGAGAAACTTTTCGAAAAGATAGTCAAGGTGTCGGAAGAGCCACAGGTGACTGAAGTTAACACAGAACCTAGTAGTACCACTAAGGTAACCAAAACTAGTGAAGTCACCGAATCTGGAGCCATACTAACCACCACAACGGTTACCAAACATATTAAAAAGAGAATCGTTAAAATAATCGTAGACGGTCAGGAGCAAATTATAGAAGAAGAAGTGGTAGATGATGCACCACAAGAAAATGTTACCGTCGAAAAGATTAATTTGCCAGAGAGCGCCGATATTACAGGTGGCAGTGTTACTAGCACGGTTCTGAAATCGGGCGGTACAGTAACGAAAACCGTTATTACCAAAACTAAACGTTTAATAAAACGTATTTTAGAAAATGGTGAAGAAATAGTCGAAGAGGTAATGGAAGATGAACCTCAAGTTGAACAACAAGTTACTGAGTTGCCTACAACCACAGAAACTATTGTACAAACGGTATTGGAAGATAAACCCAAAACAGAGAAAACAGTTGCCCAAGAATACGAAAAAATGATTAAGGAACCACAACAAGTCGAAGAGGTAGTACAGGAACCTAAAACATCCAGTCCTAAAAAGGTTAAAGGCAAAAAAGATAAAACTAAACCTACTGCTACTGCTCCTAAATCTGTAGAACCAGAGAATGGTATTGAAAAGAAGGAAGAACCTAAACAAGAGGTTAACATTCCCTCAAAGAGCGAAGAAGAACATACTACAATAACTCCTGAAACTCAAGTTACAGAAACTTTGAAATACCCAGAAACTGCTGAAATGCCAAAGGAAATTATTGCTGAAAATCAAACTGAAGAGTTTAATCAAAAAGTTCAAACAACCGCAACCTCTTTCACACAGATTGTACAAGGTGGCACCATAACAAAGACCGTTACTACCACCACTAAACGTTTTATAAAGACCATTAATGAAAATGGTGAAGAAATCACTGAAGAAGTATGCGAAGAAGAACCAACAGAGGAAATTATTGAAAATATAAGTCAACCTACGGAAATGTCTACAATTGAAACTGAAACTCATTCCAAACAGGAAGAAAAGAAAGAAAAGGTAATCCAAGAAAGTGTGAAAGAAATCATTGAAAATATAAAGCAACCTTCGGAAATGGATGTTATCGATAGTGAAATCAAACCTGAAAAGGTAGAACAAACTCAAGAAGTTAAACAACAAACTCCAGTAGAAGAAAAACCCAAGGAAACAGTAACTGATACTACAACAACAATCCAGGAACAACCCTTGGATACGGCATTTACACAAATAGTTCAGGGAGGAACAATTACCAAGACATTTACAACCATCACTAAACGTATCATAAAGAGAATTAATGAAAACGGTGAAGAGATCATTGAAGAGGTAATCGACGAAGAACCTAAAGTTACCCAAATGACATCAGAATTGCCCACCACGGTTAAAATGTCGGAAAATATTGGCACAAATGACTTGACTTCCACCACTACCTCACAGGTAACAAGTGGCGGTGTTATAACACGCACCCTAACCACCATAACTAAACGTATAGTGAAACGTATTAACGAGAAAGGTGAAGAAGTTATCGAAGAAATCTATGATGAAGAACCTGTCGTTACTCAAGAAGTTTCTAAACTTCCCACCAAGGTGGAAACATTTGTAATGTCTAGTCCTCAGGAGGAAACTCAAATTGTAGATAATACACAAAGGATTTCCGAATCCACTAACACCGCTCAAGTAATTGAGGGAGGTACCATAACACGCACCTTGACTACAATTACCAAACGTATTATTAAACGTATTAACTCGAAGGGTGAAGAAATCACCGAAGAAGTTTACGATGAAGAACCTCAAGTTACTCAAGAAATATGCGAACTTCCAATAACCACAAAAACTGTTACGGTACCAGCAACTGTTACCTCTGTTTCCTCTGTACCCACAACAACAAGTATAACATCTTCACAAGTTATACAGGGTGGTAAAATCACAAAAACTTTGACTACCACCACGAAACGCATAATCACAAGAATTAATGAACATGGTGAAGAGGTCACTGAAGAAGTCATTGACGAAGAACCCGTAGTAACACAAGAAGTTACTGAGTTGCCAATTACAACTGAACAAAATGTAGTGAAAACTCAGGAAATTCAACAAGACATACCCAAACCATTCTCGGCACCTCTGCAGCCATTCGATGAAAGTATTGCTGTAAAACAAGTAGAAGAAAAAGAGTCTGTACCAGTTTCAGAAACTCCAGAATCTACAACCTCTACACAAGAAGAAGAAGAACAAGATGGTGGAGTAATTAAAACTACCATTATACGTACTACCAAAAAGGTTAAGAAAATCAAAACTGATGAAACTGAAACAACCGAAACTGATGCCGCAACAAAATTGTCAACTGAAGTTGTTGAGGATGAACCTAAGGTTGTACAGAAACCAGTAAAAGAGGAAAAACCACAGCCTGAAACAATTAAAGAAACTAAAACTGAAGTTCCCACAGAAACATCTGAGGTAAACGATAACACGGATGAGGTTATCAAAAAGACCATTGTGCGCACTACCAAGATTGTCAAAAAGATTTCACAAAATACTGAACACGAAAGCGTTTCCCAAGAAGAACCGAGCCAACAGTTACGTAATGTTGAGTCTCCTAATCTTAAGGTAGAAGAACCAACAAATATTACAGAGCCTTCCGATGCGGTATGTGTTGATAACGAGTCTGGTGGTGTGGTCAAAACCACAACTATACGCACTACAAAGATCGTAAAACGTAAACCACAAGATGAGGAAGTTTCAGAAGAGCAATCCTCTGAAACCCAAGAAGAACCCGAACAGAAACTTACAATTGTTGAAGAGCCCAGCGAGGTGGTTAGTGTTACTAACCAAATGGATGGTGCTATTATTAAAACCACCACCATACGCACTATGCGCATTATTAAGAAAATCTCTCAAGATGGTCGTATTGTCTTGGAAGAGAGCGATACACCTGACGATGTCATAGTTAAGAGTTCAATTGAAATGCCAGATCAGACACCCTCCCCCTCTATTACAAGAAGTAGCAGTAGTACTAGTGTTCCCATTGTAGATTCTCCTAAACCCCATGAAATTGTCTTAACAGGTCTAGATAATATTTCAACGACTGTAGAAAATCCGTCCTCGCCCTCAGGCATTAGAGTACTTGGTATCGAAACAGTACCTGTAACAATCACACAAAATACCTCGACCCTTGATATGTCATCATTAGGGTCATCATCGACCACTACTACCACTACCACAACTACCTCAAAAATGTCTAAACTTACAATGTCCCATAAATATAGTTTTGAATCTGACGATGGTAAGAATGTTGTATATGTAGGTGACGATTTGGGTGGTAAATATCCACCTGGATCTGTACAGAAGATTTCGCTAATAACTCACGAGGAAAAACTTAAGAATCCCATCGTTAAAATGCATTTAGATTTGCCTGAAGTTAGTCTTAAAGTTACCGAAACCGTTACCGATAATTACGAACACTCACAAAGAGATTTAGAACAACGCGAATCCGAAGAGAAACTTATAATGGTTTCCAAGGAAGAAAAACCACAATTAGTTGAAGATACTAAGGTAATAGTAGAGGAAACACATAATTTGGTTAGTGAAGTTTCACAAGAAACTGAAGAGACAGTTAAAAATGTAGAACAAGTTTCTACCGTTGTAGAACAATCAGTTGTTGAACAGTTAGAGGAATCCAAAAAGGAAATAGTTCAAAATGTAGAAGATGTTACTACCGTTGTAGAACAGGTTTCTGCTGTAGAAAATGTTGAGGAATCCAAGAAGTTAGATATTGTAGAAGAAAAGGTTGTTGAACAAATTAAGGAAGAAATTGTCATGACTCCTGAAGAGGAAAGCCTCTTTAAGGAAATTCAAAGAAAATTAGCTAAGAAAGATAAGAAAAAGAGACCTGCTTTACCCGAAGAATTCCTTATGGCTGAAGCCACTAAGGAATCTTCAGAACCTGAGCAGAAATCAGTTGTAGTCGAATCGGAAGTTATTAATGAACCAACTGTTATACCCCAAAAACAAGAAGAAGAGCAAAATGTTACACTTCTTTCTAGTACTAATGAAATTGTTGTTGTTCCTAAAGATGAGTCAAATTATATAGATAAATGTATAACAATGGTAAGCACCATAGAAACTGCTAAACAGCTTGCAACTAACCTCAACAGCATTAGTCCGTCCGCTTTGTGTTATGAAATTCCTAAATACTATTTGCCTCAATTGCTCTTGGCTGAACGCAGTTATCACACACTAATCAAACAAGGTAATGAGCAATTTACAAGTGAACAAACACCAACTACGTCGACAAACACCAACGAACAAGTAGCAGAAGTAGAGAAGCCTTATAAGGCACCTTTACAACCATTCCCCGAAGATAAAACAGAGCTCAACGTCACCGAGGATAATAGAGAGCTGTCCACTACTACAACAGTCATCACAACTACTACAACTACTACCACATCAACCGTTACGAGCAGTGACGAAATTTCCCATGAATTGTCTACACAAAATAATTTCTATAACTTTGAAGTACCTAAATATAATATTGGTCACTTGAACGAAGCCGAAAAGGTTTTGGTTCTTACTAGGAAATCTGAAGTTCAACCCAAGGTTGATGATACCAAGGATGAACCTGCTGTTACATCTGATGTAACTGAAACTACCGAAAAGATTGAATCAACGACTACAGAAACATTGGTTGAACAACAAAATGTTACATCAACCACGGAAATTGTTAGAGAAGATATTTCGGTTGTAAAAGAAGAAACTTCTACCGAATTGGATACAGTAACACCGGAAGATGTTGTGAAACACTTCGAAGTACCCAAATACGATTTGAAATCCTTTAACAAGGCCGAATCGCAAATGGTACTCATTGAAACTCCTAAGCCAGTAGAAAAAGAAACTGAAATCGAAACACCCGAAAAATCAACTCCAGTTACACCTGCTGAGGTAGACAAACCTAAAACTGAAGATATTGTTGATGTACCAGAAAAACCATACTCAGCACCTTTACAGCCCATGGAAGAGGTTAAACCAACTCAACCTTCAACAGCTGAACCTTCAACGGTTGAAACTGAAAAGGAGTCTGTACAAAATATTTGTCACTTTGAAGTGCCTAAATATAATTTGAAATCCTTTAATTTGGCCGAAACACAAATGATACTCACAAACATTTCGGAAGCAGTAGTACCAGAAACTGAAATCAAATCCGAAGAAGTTACTAAAGTACCAGAAACAACTGTTGTAGAGCCAGAACAACAGCCAACAACAGAACAACCAACTCAAACTTTAATTTCGGAAACTGTAACAGAAGTAACAGAAACAACTCAAGATATTCTTCAACACTTTGAAGTACCCAAATATGATGTGAAATCCCTTAATAAGGCTGAATCTCAAATGGTTATTTCAAAAACTGAAACACCAGTTAAGGAAGTTCAGATCGAATCGGATAAAACTGTTATTGAAGTTTCCGAAAAACCAACTCCAGCCACAACAGAAGAACCACCTTTACAACAACTACAGGAAGTTGAAACAACACAACAAGTTTTACCTGCAGAACCATCAACAGATATTGTTGAAAACATCTGCCACAACTTTGAAGTACCTAAATACAATGTGGTATCATTAAACAAAGCTGAAAGCCATATGATTACCACCTTGAAAAATGTTGTTCAAACTGTGGAACAAACAGTTATTTCAGAACCTAAGGCTGAGCCTGAAATCACCGAAAAGAAACCGGAAGAAAAGCCTTTAACTGAATCAACTCAAACAACAACAACTGAAGAAAAGGTAATTGAAGTAGTTTCTACAGAGATTAAAGAAGCTCCTAAAGAGGAAACTAAACCCGCCTATGCTGGCCTTCCCGTCGATGAATCTACCAATGCTTGGATGGATGTTATCGATGAGCCAATGGTATTCTCTGATGATGAAGAAGAAACTACAGAACCCGAAAAGGTTACTGAAGTTGAAGCAAAGAAACCTGAAGAAAAGCCTACTTCTACCGAATCAGTTCAAACAACAACTGTAGAAAAGGTAGTAGAAGTAGTTTCTGCAGAAATTAAAGAAGCTCCTAAAGAGGAAACTAAGCCCGCATATGCTGGCCTTCCCGTGGATGAATCCACTAATGCTTGGATGGATGTTATCGATGAGCCAATGGTATTCTCTGATGATGATGAAGAAGAAATAACAAAAACAACTGAAACTGTTATAACCGAAGAGAAGCATGAAGTTGCTACAGCGGAAGATGTAACCCAAACAGTTAGTGATTCTACAAAAACAGTTGAAATATCTGAGAAACCCGAAAAATTGGAATCTGAAACTAAAAAGCCATTCGAGGCACCACTTGAGCCAATTACCACTACAGAAGTTAAAGAAACTCCCAAAGATGTTAGTAAACCTGCTTATGCTGGTCTTCCCGTCGATGAATCTACCAATGCTTGGATGGATGTTATCGATGAGCCAATGGTATTCTCTGACGATGAAGAAGAAACTACAGAACCCGAAAAGGTTACTGCCATTGAAACAGAGAAACCAGAAGATAAGCCAGTGACTGAAACTACAACTGAGGTGGTTTCTACAGACATGAAAGAGGCTCCAAAAGATGTTACTAAACCCGCTTATGCTGGTCTTCCCGTGGATGAATCCACTAATGCTTGGATGGATGTTATCGATGAGCCAATGGTACTCTCGGACGATGAAGAAGAAGTTGCTAAATCCGAAACAACTACCGAAGTTGAAACAACTGAAACTGTTATAACCCAAGAAAGTAAAATAACTGAAGTTGAGAGAACAGTAGTTGAAAAGGATGTAACTCAAACTGATTCTACAGAAACAATTGAAGTATCTGAGAAACTAGAAAAATTGGAAACTGAAACTAGCAAACCATTCGATGCTCCACTTGAGCAAATTACTTCAGTAGAACCCGAAAAGGTTTATGTAGTTAAAACAATAAAACCAGAAGAAGAACCCGTAACTCAACCTGAAGTGGTTCCTACAGAAATTAAAGAAACTCCTAAAGATGTTACTAAGCCCGCTTATGCTGGCCTTCCCGTGGATGAATCCACCAATGCTTGGATGGATGTTATCGATGAGCCAATGGTATTCTCTGATGATGAGGAGGAAGAAACTACAGAACCCGAAAAGGTTGCTGAAGTTGAAGAAAAGAAACCCGAAGAAAAGCCTACCACTGAATCAGTACAAACAATAGCTGAAGAAAAGGTAGTTGAAGAGGTTTCTACAGTCATCAAAGAAACACCTAAAGATGTAACTAAACCCGCATATGCTGGCCTTCCTGTCGATGAATCCACCAATGCTTGGATGGATGTTATCGATGAGCCAATGGTACTCTCGGACGATGAAGAAGAAGTTGCTAAATCTGAAACAACTACCGAAGTTAAAACAACTGAAACTGTTATAACCCAAGAAAGTAAAATAACTGAAGTTGAGACAACAGTAGTTGAAAAGGATGTAACTCAAACTGATTCTACAGAAACAATTGAAGTATCTGAGAAACCAGAAAAATTGGAAACTGAAACTAGCAAACCATTCGATGCTCCACTTGAGCAAATTACTTCAGTAGAACCCGAAAAGGTTGATGTAGTTGAAACAATAAAACCAGAAGAAAAACCCGTAACTCAACCTGAAGTGGTTCCTACAGAAATTAAAGAAACTCCTAAAGATGTTACTAAGCCCGCTTATGCTGGCCTTCCCGTGGATGAATCCACCAATGCTTGGATGGATGTTATCGATGAGCCAATGGTATTCTCTGATGATGAGGAAGAAACTACAGAACCCGAAAAAGTTGCTGAAGTTGAAGAAAAGAAACCCGAAGAAAAGCCTACCACTGAATCAGTTCAAACAACAGCTGAAGAAAAGAAACCCGAAGAAAAGCCTACTACTGAATCGGTTCAAACAACAACTGAAGAAAAGGTAGATGAAGAGGTTTCCACAGGCATTAAAGAAACTCCTAAAGATGTTTCTAAACCCGCTTATGCTGGTCTTCCCGTGGATGAATCCACCAATGCTTGGATGGATGTTATCGACGAGCCAATGGTATTCTCTGATGATGAAGAAGAAATCACTAAAACTACTACTGATATTAAAACAACTGAAACAGTCATAACGCAACAAAGTAAAATAACTGAAGAGAAACACGAAGTTGCGACAACAGTGGTTGAAGAAGATGTAACCAAAACAGTTACTGATTCTACTAAAACAATTGAAGTAGCTGAGAAACCTGAAAAATTGGAAACTGAAAGTAACAAGCCATACGATGCTCCACTTGAGCCTTTAACGGCCCAAGAACCTAAGGCAGTTGATGATGAACAACCTTCAGATATTGTTGAAAAGCCATTACCAACAATGAAGCAAGAAGTTGAAACAATTGTTGAAACCACAACAACATCAACTGAATTCATCGAAACACTTGAATCAGAAGATCAAAAACCTACGGAAGATAATGCTGTTATTACCAAATCAGAAGATCAACTTGTTGAAGATACTAGTGCTTACACTAAAAATGAATGGAGTAATGTTGTCCATGATGAGCCTAAAGAATCAATTCAGCCAGTATTTAAACAAACCCAATGGACCGATACTCCCGATGAGCCTATCGATCATCAACAGGACGAAAAGACAATTATCGATACCTGGTCTAGTGTGTTGGAAGATAATACACCTAGCATATCTTCCATAGCTTTGACATCGAAACTTTCACCAAATGCACCAGAGTTTACGCCTTCGTACTTGCGTCATGCTTTCTCTGATCAAACACATACATTCTTGGCAAATGAAAGAATCTATAACGAATTCGTTCCTAGAAATAAGCAGGCCACTAAACCAAGAAGACAAGAAAAGCCACAACACTCAGCAAAACCAAAGAAACATTCGAAATCGCCTAAACATAGCCAAGAAAGAGTTCCTAAACCAGAAAAGGTTGAGAAATTCTCAGATGTTTTCGAAACAGTACAACATAAGACAACTGAAGTTTATGAACCCGAACCTAAACCTGTATTTGAGGAAACTAATGTTTGGCAGACAATTCCACATGGTAAAACTTATGCCGATATATTGTTAGGTGAAAATGGACAACCTCTGGAGAGTCAACCGACAACAATTGTAACAACTAAAGTTGTTAAAACTGAAGAAGTTTTGACTCAAGAAAGAAAGGAAAGTGGAGACAAAAAGTCACCTAAAGTTCATGAGCCTAAAGTTATTGAAACTTCTGAAGTGAAAACTAAAACCACCAAGAAAGAAAAACCCAAAAAGGAGAAGAAACCAAAACAAGCTCCTGTCAAACCGGATGAAACTGTTAAAGACATTAAACCTACTGTTGTTGAACCAGAAAAAGTTGTGGAGGTCTCAGAAACTAAAGAGCAACATACTGAAAATAAGGATAAAACTACAGTTTCTAAAACTGAATTTTCTTGGGCTTCACTTGTACAAAAACCAGGTGAATGGATTGACAATACATTGTTGAAGAAGCAAAAACCAGAACCTGAAGAAAAGAAGGAAGAACCCAAAGAAACTAAGAAACCAGAAACGAAAAAGACAAAACCAAAGAAACAAGAACGCAAGGAACACAAATCACCAGTTAAACCCGCTGTCGAAGAAGAAGTTTTAGAAAAGCCCACTGCCGAAGTAATTGAAACTGTAACACTAAAACCAGAAGAAACTGTGACAGAAACCCAAGAAACTACTGAAGTTAATACCTCAACTTGGGCTTCTCTTGTAAAACGTCCCGGTGAATGGGTAGATGTAGTTGCAGCTAAGGCAACCTCTGTTGTAACTAAGAAACCTGAAGTTAAACCAGTTGAAAAGACTGAACCTAAGAAAAAATCGAAGGATAAAAAACCAAAATCCGAAACCAAATTAACTTCTTCGGACTCTGATGAAAGCGATAAATCTTCTAAGAAACAAAAGAAGGAAACCAAACCCAAATCAAAGGATGTTAGTCCTGCTAAGAAACCCATCGACGATGTCATTGAAGAACCTAAGCCAATAGTCCAAGAAGTAGTTCAAGCTCCAAGTGTAAGCAAACCTAAAGAAGAAACCAATGCATTCTCTTGGGCTTCTTTGGTGAAGAAACCAGGTGAATGGATTGATGATATTAGTCAACGAAAGAAATCTCCTTCAAGATTACCAGAACAATCAACAGTCGTCGATACAAAGGTAACAGAACCCAAGCAGCCAAAACAAAAGAAACAGAAGGTTCCACGCAAACATGACAAACCTCAACCTGTCCATGATGAAACTGTAGTAGAACACAGTCATGTTCACGAAGAGATAAAGCCAGTTATTAAGGAGGAAGTAGTTGATAAAGCTCCAGAACAGGTTCCTGAAAAGACACAAGATAGCAACACGTTAACCTGGGCTAAAATTGCCAGTCAAATTGATCATATGACAGATGTAGTTAAACCAAAACCTTTACCTGTTCTAACCAAGACTGCCGAAACTCCTAAGCCCAAAAAGGAAAAACTTATTAAAGAACAAATTCCTGTGCAAGTATCAGAAAAGCCATTTAAAAAAGAGAAACCTGTGCATGAAGAAATTAAAACAACTTCATCCTCCTGGGCCAATATTGTTACTGAATCCACTACTGACTTTATTAATGCTGGAAGAACTATCAAAGACGATAAACCTGTGATTCGCGAGGAAGTGCCTGCTACTGAACCTGTATCTTCATCGTGGGCCGACATGATTGATGACGCTGATGAACCAACATCTTGGAAAGAAATGATAAGTGAAGAACTTGAAATTGAATTGCCACAAAATATCAACACATCTTTCAACATCCAAAAAGTAATTGAAACTGTTGATAAAACTTTGCCAGAAACCGCAGAAGAAATTAAATCTAAACCTCAAGAGCCCAAACCTCAAGAGAAGAAACCATTCTCTGCACCACTCGAACCATTTAAATCTTCCGAACCTATTGTCAAAACCGATGATACCGATTCCGAAAGCAAAATAACAACAGTAGAATCGACAACGGTTAAAACTGTAACAATAGAATCTACCAAACCTGAAGAATTGACACCTGTGAAAATTGTTGAGGAACCAAAGAAACCTGCCTATGCTGGTCTTCCTATTGACGAAACTTCCAATGCTTGGATGAATGTTATAGAAGAACCAATGGTATTCTCCGATGAAGAGGAAGAGGTGCAAACTACAGTTACTACCATAGAGACTACAACAACTTCCGAAGAAAAGACCACAACTGAAAAATTATCTCCAACAGAAGAAGTGAAACCCCAAGTGCAAGTTGCTGAAGAACCTAAGAAACCTGCCTATGCTGGTCTTCCAATTGATGAATCTTCCAATGCTTGGATGAATGTTATTGAAGAACCAATGGTATTCTCCGACGAAGAGGAAGAGGTACAAACTAATGTCACAGTAGTTGAAACTATAACAACTTCCTTAACAGATGAGACCAAAGAGGAATCATGCAAGGAAGAGGAACCTAAACAATTTACCACACCTTTAGAACCTCTATCCGCTAAAATAGAAACAGTTCCAGAAGAAAAACCAACCGGCACAAAAGAAAAGGAAGTACAAGAAATCGCACCTGCAGCTATATCTGGACCTAAGAAACCTGCCTATGCTGGTCTTCCAATTGATGAATCTTCTAATGCTTGGATGAACGTGATTGAGGAACCTATGGTATTCTCGGATGAAGAAGAAGAGGTGCAAACTACAGTTACTACCGTAGAAACTACTACAACTAGCGAAGAAAAGGCAACATTTGTATCAGAACAACTTAAGGAATCCCAAGAAAAACCAAGTGAAGATAAACCAGTTAAAACAGAAGCAGTTGAAACTAAAACAACAGTTTCTGAAAAGCCATTCACTTCGCCTTTGGAGCCTTTGACTGATAAACCTATAACCGTAGATGAACCAAAAGAGAATGCCGAAAAGACACCTGAAAACATATCTCAAACTGAAGAAGTAAAACCCCAAGTACAAGTTGCTGAAGAACCTAAGAAACCTGCATATGCCGGTCTTCCAATTGATGAATCTTCTAATGCTTGGATGAACGTCATTGAGGAACCAATGGTATTCTCAGATGAAGAGGAAGAGGTGAAAACTACAGTTACTACAGTAGAGACAACAACAACCACAGAAGAAAAAACCACAACCGAAAAATTACCTCAAACTGAAGAAGTAAAACCCCAAGTACAAGTTTCTGAAGAACCTAAGAAACCCTCCTATGCTGGTCTTCCAATTGATGAATCTTCTAATGCTTGGATGAATGTTATTGAGGAACCAATTGTATTCTCAGATGAAGACGAAGAGGTGCAAACTACAGTTTCTACCGTAGAAACTACTACAACCACCGTAGAAAAGACAACATTCGTATCAGAAGAGCCTAAGGAATCCAAAGAAGAAGAAGATAAACCAACTAAAACAGAAGCAGTTGAAACTAAAACAACAGTTTCTGAAAAGCCATTCACTTCGCCTTTGGAACCTTTGACTGATAAACCTATAACCGTAGATGAACCAAAAGAGAATGTTGAAAAGACACCTGAAAATATACCTCAAACTGAAGAAGTAAAACCCCAAGTACCAGTTGCTGAAGAACCTAAGAAACCTGCCTATGCTGGTCTTCCAATTGATGAATCTTCTAATGCTTGGATGAACGTCATTGAGGAACCAATGGTATTCTCAGATGAAGAGGAAGAGGTGCAATCTACTGTCACCACGGTAGAAACTACAACAACCACTGAAGAAAAGATCTCAACCGAAAAATTACCTCAAACTGAAGAAATAAAACCCCAAGTACAAGTTTCTGAAGAACCTAAGAAACCCGCATATGCTGGCCTTCCAATTGATGAGTCTTCTAATGCTTGGATGAATGTCATTGAGGAACCAATTGTATTCTCAGATGAAGACGAAGAGGTGCAAACTACAGTTTCTACCGTAGAAACTACTACAACCACCGTAGAAAAGACAACATTCGTATCAGAAGAGCCTAAGGAATCCAAAGAAGAAGATAAACCAACTAAAACGGAAGCAGTTGAAATTAAAACAACAGTTTCTGAAAAGCCATTCACTTCGCCTTTGGAACCTTTGACTGATAAATCTATAACCGTAGATGAACCAAAAGAGAATGTTGAAAAGACACCTGAAAATATACCTCAAACTGAAGAAGTAAAACCCCAAGTACCAGTTGCTGAAGAACCTAAGAAACCTGCCTATGCTGGTCTTCCAATTGATGAATCTTCTAATGCTTGGATGAACGTCATTGAGGAACCAATGGTATTCTCAGATGAAGAGGAAGAGGTGCAATCTACAGTTACTACAGTAGAGACTACAACAAGCACCGAAGAAAAGATCACAACTGAAAAATTACCTCAAACTGAAGAAGTAAAACCCCAAGTACAAGTTGCTGAAGAACCTAAGAAACCCGCCTATGCTGGTCTTCCAATTGATGAATCTTCTAATGCTTGGATGAACGTCATTGAAGAGCCAATGGTATTCTCAGATGAAGAGGAAGAAGTACAAACTACAGTTACTACCGTTGAAACTATAACAACCACTGAAGAAAAGACCACTACTGAAAAATTACCTCAAATTGAAGAAGTTAAACCTCAAGTTCCAGTTGCTGATGAACCTAAGAAACCTGCCTATGCTGGACTTCCAATTGATGAAACATCTAATACATGGATGAGTGTCATTGAGGAACCAATGGTATTATCCGATGATGAAGAGGTCCAAACTGTTGTTACTGCCGTAGAAACTGTAAATATTGTTGATGAAAAGACAACAGTTGTAACAGAATCTAAGGAAACACCTAAAGTAGAAGAAGTCCGCCAAATGGTTCCAGAAGAACCAAAGAAAACTGCTTACGCTGGACTTCCTATCGATGAATCTTCCAACGCTTGGATGAGTGTCATTGAGGAACCGATGGTATTTTCGGATGATGAGGAAGAAGTACAAACTACTGTTACCACTGTTGAGACAGTTACAACAACAGTAACTGAACAACCCATTCAAGAATCAGTTAAAATTGATGAAAAGCAAACAGTAATTACTGAGCCAGTTACTAAGGAGCCTAAGAAATCCACTGATGAAGAAAAGGTTGTAACAGAAACTACAACTGTTGACAAGCCCTTCACTTCTCCATTGGAACCATTAAGCGATAACTTAGTGGATGAGCCAACTCAATCTGAAGAGGTAAAACTTCAAGAAGTAATTCCTGTTGAACCAAAGAAACCTGCCTATGCTGGTCTTCCCATTGATGAATCTTCAAATGCTTGGATGGACGTCATTGAGGAACCAATGGTGTTCTCTGATGAAGAGGAAGAAGTGAAAACACAAACAATGGTTGAAACAATTACAACCGTTGAAGAAAAGACAACTGTTGTAAGTGAAAAACCAGAGGAACCTAAGAAACCTGCTTATGCTGGCCTTCCCATTGATGAGTCTTCAAATGCTTGGATGGATGTCGTCGATGAACCTATGGTTTTGTCCGATGACGAAGAACAGAAGAAACCTGAAACTGTAGTTTCCGAAAAACAATTTACTGTCCCCTTGCAACCAATAGACAATGTCAAGTCTGTCGAAGACCATAAACAGGTATCACCAGATACTCAACAACCCAGCAAAGTTGTCACTACAGATAGTATTACCAGTACAACTACACAGTCTTGGGCTTCTATTGTCTTACAAAACCAAGAAACTGAAGAAGTAACTAAGGTTATTAAAACCGACAAACCAAGTAAAAAGGAAGCTAAGAAGGATGTTAAACCTGTTGAAAATATCGAAACAACAGTTATCCATGATTCAGAACCGGTACCAAGCAAAAAGGAACCTAAGAAGGATATTAAACCTGTAGAGAAGGTACAAACTGTTGAAAAGGTTGAAACAACAGTTGTCCATGATTCTGAACCGGTATCAATTACTTCAGCATTTGACATGCCTGAATTGAATGTTTCTTGGAAAGAAAACGACAATGTTGACAACGTGGTAGAAACAATCGAAAGCACTTCTTTGCCAACTGAAAAGCCTGCCATATCCTTTACATCTTATGCAGATATTCTTAAACACACTTCACAATTCATTGATTTAGAAAAGCAAAACACACACAAAACTACAGAGTCTACAGTTACAGAAGTAGATAAATCTATCAAAAAGGAAGAAGTGTCGCATAAGGTTGAAAAGACCAAAAAAGAAAAATCCAAAAAGACAGACAAGAAGAAGGATGATAAACACAAAAAGGAAGAGGTGGTGGAAGAGCAAAAACCTGTACCACAGGATACCTTTGAGATTGTGGATCATAAAGTTTCTGAAACAATCGAAGAAACTCATACAGTTGAAACTAGTACGGTTGTCAGTGAAATTCCTTCCACTATTACAACTACTATGTCTTGGTCTTCAATTGTTCAACAACCTGCAGCTCCTATCGAGCAACCCAAAGAACAAGATGAGAAACCGGAGGAAAAATTACCTGCTCCAACAGCTCCTGTAGAAAAAGAAAATGTTGAGACCAAGAAGAAGAAGCCTAAGAAGGAGAAGAAAGAGAAACCTAAACAAACTCATCAAAAGACCAAACCCGAAAAGGAGAATATAGTGGAAGAGGAAGTTGTTATCACAACAGTTGGACCAGAGATTTCCGAGAAAACTGAAGAAATGACAACTTCTTCTACAACAGTAACTTCTGTTACCACATCTACAATATCTTGGTCCTCTATTTTGCAACAAGCTCCTGAACCAGTTCCCGAAGAACCTAAGTCAAAACCAATTGTGGTTCATACTGAAACCAAGAAGGACAAAAAACAACCAGTTAAACCCAAAGAAAAGCCTCAGAAACAAATTTCTCCCAAGAAGATTGTTGAAAGCGAGCCTAATGTTGAGGAAGCTGTAGAGGAACCAGAAGTTACTACTCCAACAACTCCTGAACTTCCCTCTTCTACAACAACTGTATCACAAACAGATACTGTTACAACATTGTCTTGGTCATCTATACTTCAACAAGCCTCAGAACCAGTAGTTGAAGACATTCCAGTGCCAACTGAAAGTACCACCGTCAAACCAAAGAAAGACAAGAAAGCTACCAATAAGAAACATAAACCCGAAACTAAAGAGCCAACTAAAGTTGAACATAAAGAACCAACTAAAGTTGAACCCAAGGAGCCAACTAAAGTTGAACCCAAGGAGCCAACTAAAGTTGAACCCAAAGAGCCAACTAAAGTTGAAACTGAAGAGTCAGCCAAGGATGTTCCTGAACCAGTAACTCTTAAAGAGACTGTTGAAATTTCAACAACTACTATTACACAAAACATTGATCAGTCTACCGGAAAAATGTCCTGGTCTGCCATACTACAACAAGCTGTCGAACCAAGTCCCGAAGAATTGCGCAAACTAGAGCCTGTGGATGAAATTAAATCTCCCGATACTGAAAAGCCTCATGTAGAGCATAAGAAGGATAAAAAACCCCATAAGAAGGAAAAGAAACAACATCCAAGAAAGCACGCCGTCGAAACTGTTGAGGATCAAGTTAAGAAGGAACATGATGTCGTACCGGTTGAACACACTACCCAACCAGAGCCCGTAGTTAATGTTGAAGAAGTTATTACTACACAAACTACATTGGAAGAAAAACATGAGGCTCCTAAATTCACCGGATTATCTTGGTCCGCTATTGTTAGCCAACCCGTCGTAGACGAACCCGTCACTACAGAAACTAAAAAGCCTACAACAAATGTTTCTGTTACGGAAACTGTTGAACGTAAATTACCACAAGAGAAACCAAAACGTGATAGGTCCAAGAAGAAGTTTAACGACAAACCCGTCAAAACACAACAAGTTCCAACTGATGTCATTCCTCAAGACGATCAAGTCGATGAGTCCACTGATTTGCAAGAAAAGAAAATTATCATTGAAACACCAAAATCTAATGACGTTTTCGATAAACCTTGGTCAGAGCTAGTAAGTGACGATGAATGGGAAGACAATGTGACAAGTACGACTGTGATAACAACCACAACAACAACTGAAACTACTCAACAGCCCCAAGAAAAACCTGAGGGTAGTTCATTCAAATCATGGTCAGATATTTTGAAGGAGAATATTAACCAAACTTTTGTGGACACAACCACTAAGAAGACTTTCGATACTAAAAAGAAAACAACCGATTTCATTCAACAAGAAAAACAAATGCAACCTCATCGCGTGGAAAAGGTTAAAAAGGAAAAGTTAGTAATGGAACATGTTGGAGAACCCATTTTCCATGTTGGAGAACCCATTACAGAAAAAGACAAACAATCCAAACCTAAGAAGGAAAAGAAACATAAGACACATAAGAAACCTGAGGTTCTGGTCGATGAAGAAAAGTTAGTCTTGACCCATGTTGAGAATGTTGAAGATCAAAAGAAATCTTCGGAGAGTGTAACTGAAAGTACTACTGTAACAACAACAACTACTACTTTTGAAGAAAAGAAATCATGGGCTGATATTCTTAACGAAGACGAAGATGAACCACTTGAAATTCCTGAAAAACCATATACTGCACCACTTCAACCATTCAAACCTGTAGAGGAAAGTGTTTCAGAAGTTGTAGAAAAACCAGTTGATGTTGTTGATGACGTTAAAACTGTCAACGACATTACTAAGGAAGAACAAACAATAGTTATACATAAAGAAGACATATTGACTGAAACCGAAATTCCTACAGAAGAACCAGTTAATGTGCCTGAAGAAAAGATTGAAACACAAACTATTGTTACTGTCACTGAAGACGAAAAAACTGAAACTCAAACTATTGTCACTACTAGTGAAGAAGTGTCGATTGTCGAAGAAACAACCAAAATATCTCAGGAGATCAAGGAAACTTCTGAAGAGGAAGTGAAGCCTGAACCTACTTCAGAAATTAAATCTATTGGAAGTGATGATGTTGACAAGCAGTTTACAGTTCCTTTGCAACCAATTGAATCTATTGTTGATGAAGCAGTCAAACAACCAGAACCCACAGTTGAGACAGAATCTGCCGCTACTGTAGAGGAACCATCTTTGGCTGATGATAAGCCACAACAGGTTGAATTGGAGGAAACAGACATTGAAATTGCTACCGAGGCATTTGAAGAAACTAAAGATTCCAAATTAACTCAAGAAGACAGCGAACAGAAACCTAAAGACCTTACAGTCGAAGAAACTGTTAAAGAAGTAATTACAGAAACAACACAAATTTTAGACATCGAACAGGTTGTAGAGAAAATAGAAGAACAAAAGTCTACCATTGAAGTAGATGTTTCTCCTGAAGTACCAGAAGAAAAGACTGATATGAAGGATGTATCACCAGTGGTCGAAGCCTCCCAACCAGAGGAACCAACTGTAACAGCTCAAGACTTGGTCGTCGAACCAGCTGTAGAGCAAGTAGAAGATCATAAACCTACAACTGAAGTTAGCGAAGTTCAAAATGAGGAAACTACATCAGAAATTTTGGAACATACTGAACATACATACTTAAGATCTTGGTCAGCTGCAGCAGCAGAAGTTGAGCAGCAACTTTATACTGGATATAAGCCTCGTGAAGTTACTCCACCTATTCAGGAACATCACGAGCCTGAAGAACAAAGACAAATAACAGAAATTGTGCTCCAAAATATCCAAGAGATATCAACTAAGGTATCTGATGAAAAACTTCCCGAAGAAAAGCAGCCTGAAAAGGAAGAATTCTTCGAAGAAAAGGTTGATGTCATTACCCATGAATCCGAGGAACAAACGATGACAACTGAAGTACAAAAGCAAACAACAGAAGTTGTAACTATTCAGGAAACGTCTACTATTGTAACTGAGAAACTACAGAAGGAAGATGTTTCTGTTGAAGATAAAATAGAGGTTATTCCTCATGAACAACCTAAAGAACCTGAGGAACAACCACAAACAACTGATGTTGTATCTTCTGAAGAACAAAAACTAACAACAGAAGTTCCAACTGTTCAAGAAACACAACCCGAAAAGGAAGATAAGAATGATGTTATTTCTCACGATAAACCTCGAGATCTTGAAGAACAAACAGTGACAACCGAAGTTATTGTTACTGAAACTTCTACTGTTGTAATTGAGAAAACTCAAAAGGAAGAAGATTCCGTAGAAGACAAGAAGACCGTATCTCCTCAAGAACAAACCAAAGTACCTGAGGAACTTCCTCAAACAATTGAAGTTACATCTTCGGAAGAACCAAAACAAACAACAGAAGTTGTAACTATGGAAGAAAATATCGTAGAAGAGAAGAAAGAACAGCCCAAACAATCTGAAGGACAACTTCAGACAACAGAGGTTGTAATCTCTGAAAAACAAACCATTGAAACAGTAACTACCCAAGAAGACAATCAACTACCCAAAAAGAAGAAGGAAAAGAAACCTAAAAAGGAAAAACAAACCGTAGAAGATAAGACTCCTCAAGAACACCTAGATGAACCCCAAGAAACAACAAAACCAGTTGAAAAATTACCAACTGCGCCAGTAGCATCACCGTTAACCATGTCCTGGGCTGCAATGTTGAAAGATAACTTAAGTTCAGACCAACTTCCTAAGGCTGATATTAAAAATCAAACTGCCGACTTCATTCAAGGTGAATCTCTAACTGAAAAGATCCACGATGTGAAACCACAAAAGGAAAGTGAAATTATCTCTTCAGTACCTGAAGTTGTTGAGGAAACTCAACTCATTGAGGAAACAACTGTTACAGTATCAGATGAACACCAACTTCCCAAAAAGAAGAAAGAAAAGAAACCTAAAAAGGGAAAACAATCTGTAGAAGAGAACATTACTCAAGATCACCAATATGAACCTAAAGAAACAAAGGAAGTACCAGAAGTGACAAAATCCAAACAATTTGAGGATGATAAATTACCTAAAGAGCCAACATCAGCACAATTCACTATGTCTTGGGCAGCTATGTTAAAAGATAATTTGAGTTCTGAAAAACTTCCTAAAGTTGACATCAAACACCAAACTATGGACTTTATACAGGGTGAGACTCTTGTAGAAAAGACAGTTGAAGATGTGAAACCTATTGAAAAGGAAACTGAAGTTGTTTCACCTGTTGAATTGCCAGTAGATGAAGTTAGTCACGAGCACGTTGAGGAAACTCAACATATTGAAGATACGATTGTAACAGATGAACACCAGCTTCCCAAAAAGAAGAAAGAAAAGAAACCTAAAAAGGGAAAACAACCCGTTGAAGATAAAACTCCTCTAGTAGATCAAAATGAACCTGAAGAACAAACGCATACAACGGAAGTGTTTGAATCTAAACAATTTGTTGATGATAAATTGCCTACTGCACCAACAACTTCTCCATTCACTATGTCCTGGGCTGCCATGTTAAAGGATAATTTGGAACAACAGCCTAAGCAAGTAGATGTTAAGTCTCAGCCTATGGAATCTGTACAAACTCAATCTCTGGAACGTGATGAACCTCAGCACTCAGTCGTTGAGGAAATTACACAACAACTGTCGGAAGTAGTTACAGAGGAAATTACTGTGGTAGATGACACTCAACTTCCTAAAAAGAAGAAGGAAAAGAAGTCTAAGAAGGGAAAAGAACCTATCGAAGAAGAAATAAAATCTCATGAACCAGTACAACAACCTGAAGTTCTTCCTGAGTCTCAGATGACAGAAGTTGCTTCTCAGCATATTGAAGAAATATCGGATACGGCAACGGATGACAGTCAACTTCCTAAAAAGAAGAAGGAAAAGAAACCTAAAAAGGAAAAACCATCTATGGAAGATAAGACTGCTCCAGAGCCTGAAGAACCTAAACAAACAGATGAAATTGTCGCACCACAACCAACGCCTTCGGTACCAACTTCAACACCGTTTACTGTATCTTGGGCTGCAATGTTGAAGGGTTCAGAACAAACACCTAAACCTGACATTAAACATCAAACTGCAGCTTTTATCCAATCTGAAGTACAACAACCTCACAGAGAAGATGCAAAACCAAAATTGCCTACAACTGAAACCATTCAAGATAATGTAGTTGTTGAAAGTGTCGTTGAGGAAACTCAACACACAGAGAAAATAACAGTTACAGTATCAGATGATAATGAGCTTCCTAAAAAGAAAAAGGAAAAGAAGCCTAAACAGGAAAAACCAACAGATGAGGAACAGCCAACAGAGGAACAAGCACAACCAGAGGTTGTTACACAAGAAGCAGTTACGCTTTCAGAAGATAGTCAGCTACCTAAAAAGAAGAAAGACAAGAAATCTAAAAAGGAGAAAGAAAATGTACAGGAGCCTGAGGAACAAAAGCCAACAGAAGTTCCTACCCCAACACCTGTACACGTTGTTGAGGATAAACAGCAAACTACATCGACAACAACTATGTCCTGGGCTACGATGTTAAAGGAGAATTTGAATTCAGAACAAGTTCCCAAACACGACATTAAACATCAAATTGTAGAGTTTATCCAGTCGGAAACACATCAAGTCCACAAAGAAGATGTAGAACCTACATCCATTGAAAATGTAGAACCTCAACACATCGAAACTAGTGAAGAAAGCGAAACTGTAAATGTTATCTCTCATAAATTGCCCGTAGCTGAAAAGACACAAGAACGTAATGTCATTGAAAGTGTAGTTGAAGAAGTTCATGTAACAGATGTTGTGACAGAAAGTACTCCAGAATCTGAGGACAAAGAACAACACAAAAAGAAGAAGGAAAAGAAACCTAAGAAGGAAAAACCCTCCACTGAAGAGAAACAACCTGAAGAGCAAAAACAAACAACAGAAGTTGTTATTCCTGAACCTAAACAGTTTGTTGATGATAAACCACAAACTACATCGACCACAACTATGTCCTGGGCTGCGATGTTGAAGGAAACTGAAGATGTAGAACCTAAAATTACTGAAACTGCAGAACCTCAACACATTGAATCTAGTGAGGAAAGGGAAACAGTAAATGTTACTCCTAGTGAATTGCCCGTTGCTGAAAAGACCCAAGATCGTAATGTCGTTGAAAGTGTAGTTGAAGAAGTTCAAGTAACAGAAGTTGTGACAGAAAGTGTTCCAGAATCTGATGATAAAGTACAACCCAAAAAGAAGAAGGAAAAGAAACCTAAGAAGGAAAAACCTTCCACTGAAGAGAAACAACCTGAAGAGCAAAAACAAACAACAGAAGTTGTTATTCCTGAACCTAAACAGTTTGTTGATGATAAACAACAAACTACATCGACCACAACTATGTCCTGGGCTGCGATGTTGAAGGAAACTGAAGATGTAGAACCTAAAATTACTGAAACTGCAGAAGCTCAAAACATTAAATCTAGTGAGGAAAAGGAAACAGTAAATGTTATTCCTGATGAATTGCCCGTAGCTGAAAAGACACAAGAACATAATATCGTTGAAAGTGTAGTTGAAGAAGTTCAAGTAACAGAAGTTGTGCCACAAACTGTTCCAGAATCTGAGGACAAAGAACAACCCAAAAAGAAGAAGGAAAAGAAACCTAAGAAGGAGAAAAAATCCGCTGAAGAGAAACAACCTGAAGAGCAAAAACAAACAACAGAAGTTGTCATTCCTGAACCTAAACAATATGTTGATGATAAACCACAAACAACATCAACAACAACTATGTCCTGGGCTGCGATGTTGAAGGAGAATTTGAGTTCAGAACAAGTTTCTAAACCTGACATTAAACATCAAACTGTAGATTTTATAAAATCTGAAACCCAACAAGTCCAAAAAGACCATGTAGAACCAAAATTCATTGGTACTGTAGAACCTCAACACGAAGCACCTCAAGACATTGAATTTAGTGAAGAAACTCAAGATCGTAACGTCATTGAAAGTGTAGTTGAAGAAGTTCAAGTAACAGAAGTTGTGACAGAAAGTACTTCAGAATCTGAGGGCAAAGTACAGCCTAAAAAGAAGAAGGAAAAGAAACCTAAGAAGGAAAAACCATCCACTGAAGATGAAACTACTCAAGAGAAACAACCTGAAGAGCAAAAACAAATTTCAGAAATTGTCACACCAGAACCTCAACAGTTTGTTGACGATAAATCACAAACTTCTTCGACAACAACTGTGTCCTGGGCTGCGATGTTGAAGGAACCTGTAGATGTAGAACCTAAAATTACAGAAACTGTAGAACCTCAACACATTGAATCTATTGAGGAAACAGTAAATGTTATTCCTTGTGAATTGCCTGTACCTGAAAAGACAGAAGAACATAATATCGTTGAAAGTGTAGTTGAAGAAGTTCAAGTAACAGAAGTTGTTACAGAAAGTATTCCAGAATCTGCGGACAAAGAACAACCCAAAAAGAAGAAGGAAAAGAAACCTAAGAAGGAGAAACCATCCTATGAGGAGAAACAACCTGAAGAGCAAAAACAAACAACAGAAGTTGTCATTCCTGAACCTAAACAGTTTGTTGATGATAAACCACAAACTACATCGACAACAACTATGTCCTGGGCTGCGATGTTGAAGGAGAATTTGACTTCAGAACAATTTCCTAAACATGACATTAAACATCAAACTGTAGATTTTATCAAATCTGAAAGACAGCAGGTTCATAAAGAAGATGTAGTAGAACCTAAATCCCAACACGAAGAACCACAACACACTGAATTTAGTGAAGAAAGGGAAATAGTTAACGTTATCTCTGAGACACAGGAACGTAATGTCATTGAAAGTGTAGTTGAGGAAGTTCAAGTAAGAGAAGTTGTGACTGAAAGTACTCCAGAATCTGAAGGCAAAGTACAGCCTAAAAAGAAGAAGGAAAAGAAACCTAAGAAGGAAAAACCAGCCACTGAAGATGAAACTCCCCAAGAGAAACAACCTGAAGAGCAACAACAACCAACAGAAATTGTCACATCAGAACCTCAACAGTTTGTTGATGATAAATCACAAACTACTTCGACAACAACTGTGTCCTGGGCTGCGATGTTGAAGGAAACTGTAGAACCTCAACATGACGAACCCCAACACATTGAATCTATTGAGGAAAGGGATACATTAAATGTTATTCCTGATGAATTGCCCGTAGCTGAAAAGACACAAGAACATAATGTCATTGAGAGTGTTGTTGAAGAAGTTCAAGTAACAGAAGTTGTGACTGAAAGTACTCCAGAATCTGAAGGCAAAACACAACACAAAAAGAAGAAGGAAAAGAAACCTAAGAAGGAGAAACAATCTGAAGAACAAAAACACACAACCGAAGTTATCACACCAGAACCTAAACAGTTTGTTGATGATAAACCACAAACTACATCAGCAACAACAACAACTCAATTTACTATGTCTTGGGCTGCAATGTTAAAGGAAAATTTGACTTCGGAACAAGTTCCAAAGGATGATATCAAACGTCAAACTACAGATTTTATTAAATCTGAAATGCAACAACCCGCAGAACCTGTATCAGAAAAGATGGATTTAGTTCCAGAAGTACCTGCAGAAACTACAGTTGAAGAAGGAATTGATCAACCTGTTGAACCTCAATCGCAATCAGCTGAAGAACCTCAATACCCAGATGTTAGTCAAACTGAGGAAATTCCTCATGTTGAAACTGTTGAATTAACACCAGCTGAAGACAGTCAACAGATTGTTGTTGTCGAAACAGTCGTTGAGGAAATTCAACACGTCGAGGAACCTAAAGAGACGAAGACAGAAAATCTGGAGGAAATTGTTGTTGAACCAGAAGTTGAGCCAAAGAAGAAGTCCAAGAAAACAAAGGTTAAACAACCAGAAGCCAAATTGGATGTGCAGCAAGAACATGTTTCTCCAGCGGAAATTGTCATACCACTTCCAAAACCAACAGCTCCACCCCAATCTGTATGGTCTTTGTCTGAAACTTATGCCGAAGTTGTAAGAAAATCTGGACTTACGGATGAAGGAAAGGTTCACTATGTTACTGAATTCTCTAAGGAGACAACTGCACCCAAACGGGATGACGTTAAGCCATTGAAATCAGATGTCAAACATGATGATCCTGTTGCCATAGAAACTCCCGCTGCATTGCCCGAACATACAGAAAGTGTAACCGAAGTTTCAGAATCATTCCCTGAATCTACTGAAATGGTCTCAGCAATTGAAAGAATTGTAACTGACCTTAAAGAAGACGAAGAATGGATACCTTCTGAGGAGCCAACTTCAATGAGTTGGCGTGATATGGTAGAATCTGATAACGAGCAACCTTTGTCACCTACAGAACCCACACCATGGTCTGCAATAGTGCAAAGAACTCCCGTAGAGGAAACATTTAATGTTTCGTCTACCACAACTGAAACTATAACTACTACGGTTACCACTTCAACCAGACCATCGCGTAAAGAACAACGTCCTACCATTAAGGTTACCGAAGCTCCAGAAGAACAACAAATTGATTTACCACAATCTCCAGAATGGCAAACAGTAAGAACAAGATCTCGTTCAAACTCAAATAGATCAAGATCTCGTTCAAACCAATCAAGAAAATCCGACAAGAAATTGCCTAAATCCAAACCTCAAAAGGAAATCGAAAAGGATACCAACCTTAAGCAGTTCCAAGTCGTAGAAACTGAGGTAATAACAAAGACTGAAGAAATTGTGACAGAGCCTACAGTAGCCACTGCAGAAGTCGATAAATCTAATGTGGTGGAAGAGCCTAAGGAAACAACTCCAGTAGTACAACCTGGTCTTTCATGGGCAGCCATAGCAGCACAAAATGTTCCAAAACCAGAACAGAAAATACGTGTTATCACCGAAACCGAAAAGATTCAAACTACTGTTAGCGAAAAAGTTCCAATGCCAACACATGAAAAGCCTTTGATCAGCGTTAAAATTGAACCTGAAAGAAAGGAAAAGAAACCTAAACAAAAATCTAAAAAGAAGACAGAACACAGTGTTTCGCCCAGTAGAAGAACTCTTCTCGAGGAAGTTTCGAAACCTAAAGAAGTTGTTACAACAAAGAAAACTCCCGTTGAAGAAGCTCACGTAGCTGGTAAAACTGTTGAAGTTGCCGCAAAACCTGAAGAAGTTGTTCAACACGAAGATGTCGAAAAAGAACTATTGAGCGTTGTTCAACCAACTGCTGAAACTTCAAGTGCCAACGATTCATTGACAGAATTTTTGAACCAAGAAAGGGAATCTCAGGATAGTGGATTTATAGCACAAACTTCTTACTGGTCTGCTACATTAAAACGTGATCACAGATCAAAGACTCCCGAGAAGATAGCTATACCTGAACCAGATGACACCATCAGTGAAATTCCTGTAATTTCACCCACAGAAACACCAAAATCCTGGGCTGCTCTTGTAAATACCGAAGAAACTGTCTATGATGAACCCAAGATAATCGAATCGGTAACAGAAACAGAGCCTGCAACAGAAGAAGAAACTTTGTCATCCAAACCCAGCGATGTTACAACTGTAGACCATAAAGTTAAAGAAATTGAAGTGGAAGAAACAGTTGTTATTACTAGCGAAGAAACGGTCAAGGATGAACTGAAGATTGAGGAACCGGTGACAGAAGTTGAAAGTGTAACAGAACTTGTAGCTGAAACTGAAGCTTCTAAAAAACCGGAAGAATTTATTGAAACTGAAGATATTGTTTCCAAAATTATTGAAGAAACGGTAGTAATAAACACCGAAGAAGCTGTCAGAGAACAACACAAGACCATAGAACCAGTTTTGGAAGCTGAAATTCCACACGAAATTGAAGCTCCTACCAAACCAAAAGAAGTCGTTGAACCTGAAGATCTTGTAGAAACTATTGGTGTAGTCACCGTCGATAAGGAGTTATTGACAGATGCTCTAACAACGGACAGTGATAAAACACCAGTTCCAGAACAACTCCCTGAAGGCCAACCACAACCGGATGATGCTTTTGTTTCACAAACATCATATTGGACAGCGACATTGAAGCCAGAGCAAAAGGAGAAACCTCTCGAACTAGTTATTCAACCAGTCGAGGCAGCTGAAATTCCCGTAGAATCTCCCACAGAAACTCCAACTTCATGGTCGGCTCTCATTAAAACCGACGAAACAGTTTATCCACAACAGGAGAAATTGCCAGAAGAAGATGAACCTGTTTCCTGGTCATCGGTGGTGGTTAGCAAATTAACTGATTTCCAAGAACCAAAACAACAAACTGAAGAACCAACTGAACAACAAGATTCCCAAATATATCTTACCACAACTGTAACAACACACAAAGATCTGCCAGTCGAAGAGACTGAAGAACCTACAACTTATGTAACTTCCAGCACTGTTACAACACACAAGGAAGTGCCAATCGAAACACCGGATGAAACTACAACTTATCTAACTTCAACAACAGTAACCACACACAAGAATCTTCCTATTGAAACCACGGAAGAATCTTCATCGTATGTTACTACAACCGTTACCAGTCACAAATATACGACTGAGGAAAACGTAGACAATCAATCGTCATCGTACGTTTCAACGGTAGTCACTACACACACAGAACCCTCAGTGATACCAGAAGTGACAACAACCGAAACCGAAACAATACCCCATGATGAATGGGTAGTAGTATGTGATGATGAAATCAAGGAATTGCAACAGGATGAATTAAAATATAATCTTTATCAGGAAGTCAATAAGTATTGGACTACAAAATATGAAACCTACGAATACGCGCTCCAAGAACAACAAGCTAAAGATAATGTAAGTGCCAACGTCAATGGCGAACAGCTCTCTATTGTCGAAAATAAGTGTGATATAAATGAAACACAATCAGTGCCTTCTGAAACACCACTCGTTAGTAGTAGTGCTTCCGATATTCCTACAGCTCAAGAGGATATTAAACCTTTACTTATGGGTGAAAATCCTCTATTGCGCAATCTATTTGCCGATAATTTCCTTAAACTTGTCTCTTATTATCAACTTGTCTCGCGCTATGAAGCCTATTTATCAAAATTAGTAGTAACTGAAACGCTTAGCGATACCACGGCTATTGTTGTTAAGACCCTAGTGGAACCTAAAATACTAACTGAAGCTACGGCTATAGATAAGACTGAAGAACCGCAAATGACCTCTGACATTGTGAAAAAGACTGATGTTGAGCTAACAGCTGAAGTTAAACTAGACTCTGGTAGTGGTAGTGAAAACGTAGATGATTTATATTATAATTTATCTTTGGATAGTTGGCCCACAAATGACATTAAGTCCCGGGAAAAGCAAAGTGTTTTAGAAAACGAAAAATTACTTAGTGAATTGGAAAGTTTGAAAAAATCCCAGGTTAAGGACAAACAAGACCTATTAGATGATGTTAAAAAGACAGACAATGACAAGCGGGACGATGATGATGATGATGACGACGATGACGAGGACGACGAAAGTGGTGCCCAACGTACAGACTTACCAGAAATACGTAAACCCAAGGATGATGATGATCATAAGGGTGGTCCCAGTAGTGATAGCAGTGGTCATGTCACCCCCACACCTGAACATGATATGAATAAGGGCGGTTATCAGGGCTCTTGCTCTTCACAATATATGTCCACCGATTTACCCGGTGGTATAGGCCATTGGCGCGATCAAAGTTCTTATCTAGCTTTAGAGGGTGATAACGCTAAAATCTTAGATGAAGTTATTTTAGTTGAGGAACATAAAGATTTAGAAACTACTGCTACAGCTACACAAAACATTCCGGAAACAGATGTAAAACTCTTGGAGAATGTACAAACTACCACAACCCCTGAAACTGAATCTACAATCCCCTCCCTTTCCCCCACTATATCCTCTCCACACAGCTCCCATACAGAACAAAATGTAAGTCTTGCTTGTAAACTAACACCATTAGCTAAAGCTACTACTACCACTCTAATAAATGTGGCGGCTGATACGACAACGGCGCTCCAGACAGCAGCAACAACTGCAGCAGCATCTTTGATGCCAGCTGTTGTGGGCACTTTAGTGCCGGCCGTGGTAAGTGCGGTAACAGCAGATACGACAACAACAACAACTACAAACGAGGAAGAAAAACCAACCACAACAACTGAAGAAACAGTAGAGTTAACATCAACAACAACAACAACAGGTATTAACACTACCACTTCAACAGTCATAGCAACACAACCACAACAACATACCACACTTGTAAACAACACATTAGTAGGTGAACCACAACAACAACAAGTGATGGAATCAACAGCAACCACAACAACAACAACCCAGCCTATACAGTGTATACCACAAACAGAAACTAAAACTACAACTACCACGGTTACCGATGAACTATATAGGCCTGACTTTATAGCCAGTCCACCGGAGGCAAATGTCATTAGACGTACCACAACTACTACAACAGTAACAACAACAACAACTGTTACCGGTTCGGGTATACAACTCGAACGCCAACCGCAGCAGCTACAACAGGCGAAGGTGATAATAACGTTGAGCATACGTTTCTTGCTAATTTTAATAATAACCGCTTTTATTTGTGGTTTTGGTCTATGTTTTTGGCTTTTAAATCATTTTAATTGGTGTGATCAATAAATAAGTGATCAGAAAAACAAACTCAATTTGCCATTATAACTGATCGCATCATTTAAAAAAAAAAGAAATATGCATTATTTTATATACATTCCTGTTATTTTATACTAATATTTACAAAATTTCAAATTTGCCCAAAACCCCAAAAAAGTAAAGAAAATTTAGAGTAATGGCTGCATATAGCAAAACTTGCCCTTTGTAATATAAAATATCATTCACAATGGTAGTTGTAATGTTGCCACATTACCATTTTCATTGTGAATTGTTCAACTGTTAAAGCAAGTATTATTGTTAAGATATTTGTTTCTTTTACTAAATTGTCTTTGTCTTCCTAAAACTTTTACTCTAAATTTTCTTTAAAAATTAAAAATATGAATGTGTTTTTTATTAAATTCCTAAGTAGTTTAAAACAAATCAAACGATAATAATTGTTATTGTTGTTATAATTGTTTCTTTTTATTCATTTTAATACATTATTTTGCACTTTTTTATTTTATTAGTATTTTTTATTTTTTTATTAATTTTATTTTAAATTTTTTAGTTATTTTCTTTTGATTTTGAGTTTTATTTGTTTTTAAAAAATTACTAATATTTTTGAAATAACCTTTTTTTTTAAATAATATTTATATTAAACTGGTAATGTGTCCTTAAAAATTTTAGCATTTAATTTAGTCTGTAGTTTAGAGTTTATAGAATATATTTATCAATAAAAACTAACAAATATTAAAACAAAAAACCAAAAGAGTTAATTTAACCCCCTCAGAAAAAAATACCGCATGTTTAACTTATTCAGTATTAGATCAGTAGTTCAAAACCCAGTTGGAAAAAAGTAGAATAATAATTCGAGAAATCTCTAAAAATATTTTTAAATAATTTTTTAAACTAGTTTTAAAATAATAGCAATTAAAGGCATCTACAGATCGTTAATGATCGTGAAGATGAACTTAATTAAATAAATTATTTAAATTTGATGCGATTTTAAACCAAATTTCTCATCAAAATTTTCATAAAATTTTCCAGATTTTAAACTATATACTCTAAAACTTCTCCCCGGAACTGCAGAGTTATATGGTTGCTAGAAAAAACCTTTCAAAATTTTATGAATTTTTATAATTTCAACTAAAATTCCAATTTGGGTTTTTATATTTTTTTCATAATTTCCAAAAATATTAAATACTATACTAGCACAAATTACACATACACAGAAAATCTACACATACACAACATCACCGTACGGCAGTAGCACCTTTAAATAAATACAATTTTTGAGTATTTGCATATTCATACTATATATATCTCTAATATATATATATATTAAAATTAAGGTGATTGGTTTGAGTTATAGATTTTGTGAGTCCTCTGATTGTTACAAATATTGGCTTTCGGAAATTTTAAAAAAATTTTGCTATAATGTTTAAAAAGACTAGGTTTCATAATTTTAGAAAAAATTTTTTATTTTTGAGGTTTTTATATAAAAGATCTTGCCAAATTAAAACTAAAATTGGAAATTATGAAAATATTTTTAAGAAAATGTTTAAAATTATAAGAAAATTTTAAAGATTTTTTAAATTTGTATGGTTTTCAACATGTTTTTAAAGTGATCTTCAAATGATCTTTCTTAAAAAAATATTTTTAATAGATAAATTCATGATCTTACTACTAGATTACTCACGATCTGGTTACAACTTTTTTATTTTAAAATTTCTCTTGGGAAATATTGAAAATAGTTTGGTGATCCTTAAAAAATGTTTACCCACAAACGATCGCACATGATCTAGTTAAAAAAAAATTTCATGTTAAATTTTCTTTAAATGAAATAACACATTTTATTAAAAAGGAAAGAAAAGAAGAAAGAAAGATTTTAAAAATGTTTTTAAAGTGATCTTCATAAGATGTTTTATATAAAAACAAATTTTCTTTAAAAAAAAATCATAATAGATCACACATGTTCTAACTAGATCAATTTTTTTTATAATCTCTTAGGAAATTTTAAAATTTGTTTGGCGATCCTCAAAAATGTTTGAGCACAAACGATCCGCCTTAATATTTTCATATTTTAAAGAAATATTTAACAATATTTTTAGTGATCTTATAAAATACTGGTTAACAAACGATCACCCCTAAGATTTTCATATTAAAAAGAAATTTTAAACCATATTTTTTTATTGAAAAGTTTCAAATATTTTCATATTTATAAGAAATATTAAAGAATATTTTCAGTGATCTTTTAAACTGTTTTTAACTATAGATCCACCGAAACAATCTGTAAAGTGATCTTCTAAAATGTTTATCAAGAAAAGATCACGCCAGATATTTTCATATTTAAAAGAAATATTTTCAGTGATCTTCTGAAAAAAAAAAAAAAACGATCCATCTTAATATTTTTATATTTTTTAAGAAATATTAAACATTATTTTTTACTGATCCTCCAAAAAGGTTTCTTAACCAACGATCCATCTTAATATTTTCATATTTTAAAGAAATATTAAACAATATTTTCAGAGATCTTGGAAATTGAAACAATATATTAAGTGATCTTCTAAAATGTTTGTTAACAGAAGATCCTTCTTAATATTTTCATATTTTAAAGAAATATTAAACAATATATTCAGTGATCTTCTAACATGTTTGTTAACAGATGATCCTCCTTAATATTTTCATATTTTTAGGAACTATTAAACAATATTTTCAGTGATCTTCTAAAAGATCCTTCTTAATATTATCATATTTTAAAGAAATATTAAACAATATTTTTCTACTGATCCTCAAATGATCCATCTTAATATTTTCATATTTTAAGAAAATATTGAAGATATTTAGTGATCTTGTAAAATGTTTATTAACAAAAGATCCTCCTTAATAATTTCCTATTGAACACAAATTTAAAAAAAATATATTCAGTGATCTTCTAAAATGTTTATTAACAAAAGATCCTCCTTAATATTTTCATATTAAAAAAAATATTCAGTGATCTTCTTGTTAACAAACAATCCACTTTAATATTTTCATATTTTAAAGAAATACTGAATAATATTTTTAGTGATCTGTGTTATCGTTCATTAACTCCTTAAAATTTTCATATTTAAAATAAATATTTAACAATATTTTTTTACTGATCCTCAAAACGAGTTGTTAAAAAACGATCCCTCTTAATATGTTCTACAAATATGAAACAATATTTTCACAGAGTCTCGAAAATATTTCTTAACAAGTGATCTGCCTTAATATTTTCTCTCTATAAACAACTCTAAGCACGATCATTGTATACAACACGATCGTGTGCAGATCCACAAAAAAAAAAACGCAACATTTTGAAAAGTTTTCATAAGCAGCCATAATAAAAATCTCAAACATAGGAAGAGTTCATTAACTTTTCATAGTTTGTGGCAAATACAAATAGAGCCGAATATAAAAATATACTTTTATTATAAATATTTTCGTGGCGAAAAATGTGTTGCTTTTTTAAAAATAGAAATTATTTTTTTCAAAATGTTTTTTTTTGCAACACTGCATAATTGCTATAAAGTAATGTGTAGCAGAATTTTCTGATTTCAGTTTGAAACTAATAATTGCTAAATACTAAACAGAAAGTGGTGATCATTAGATTTAGTGAAAAAACAAAAAAATAATAAAATTTTAAAAAATTTTTATAATTAAAGAGAATGTTCAGGATCGATGATCATTAAAGAGAGAGCTATTGATTGATTTTCTTTAAATCACATTTATGTCGAAATTTTTAAATTTTTGCATTAAGATCATTATTTAAAAAGAATAATGAGTTTTTTTAATACAAAAAATATCTTTTTTTAGTGTTTTTAAGTGTTTGCCAATGTTTGTGTATGTGTAAGCTAATGAACATTTTTTAAAAAAATTTTTTAAATTAATTAATTAAGCATGATTTTTGTTTTTTTCTCCTTAAAGAAGTTTTAAGAAATTTGCATGTAAGACTTGTAAATATGTTTCCCTAGGGCTATAATTATCCAAAACTAAGACAAGATCATAGTTTGAAATCTTGTAAAAGACATTTTTCCAAACTGTTTTATCATTTAAAGAGAAATGTCTTGTTACTTAAGAGATCTTGTAAGTGATCTTGTCCTTAGTTATTAAGAGAACTATAGGTTTACTTTTATGCCCTATATTGTTATTCTTAGACCTGATCTGCTTTTAAGTTTAAGTTGTATATACAATTCAAGTATTTAAAGCTCCCATTGCTTGAAGAAAGACATAACTTTAAAAAAAAATCTATTAAAATTATTAAAATCGTTTAAAATCCTTTCCTTAAGCTTTTCTTTAAGTTATGTCCTTCTCTAGCATTATTTAAGCCTAATATTTTCTATATCAATTTATTGATTGTTGGTTTATTTATACGTTTGTAATGATTTCTTTAAATATTTTACTCTATATAACCATTCCATTTTACATTTAACTTAATTTCTTTTATTATCTCACAAATATTAATAATAATAATCCCACATACATATATATATATAGGATGTTTTAAACCAAGATGTTGATGAATTGCTTCAATCGCTAACGACAGTCGAAGGTGCCATAGCATACTTGCCACAGCACAGTTTGGATGGTATGCTGCAGGGTTTGAAGGTAAGTACTTGAATGTTTTCTCTATATAAATTATAAAAGTTAAAAAAAACACCCACACACACACACAGCATCCTGACAAATGAAAAGCTTTTTTTCTTAAGAAAAGTTTATTTTGTTTGTTTAATTGCAAAAAAAAGAAAACATTTTTTTCAAATAACGTCTTGTTTTTTGAATGTGCCGTTTGAAAAGGAACGTTATTAACTTTGAAAACATACATACCAAAATTAACACAGCATTCCTCATACATTAAAATTTACAAAATTTACAAAAATTTATTTCAAAATCTGTAGTTTAGGTTTTAGTTTTTAAAATAGGTATTTTAAGTTATTTATTTAAGTTTAATTAACATTAACTTTAGGTTAATTTCAAAATCTCTGAAACTAAGCAATCTTTTTATAGGAAAAGTTGTCTTAAATTTGATAAATTTTCTATAAGAAAAGTTGTCTGGAAACTAAGCAATTCTTTAAGAGAAAAGTTGTTCAGAAACTGAGGAATTTTCTATAAGAAAAGTTGCTTAGAATCTTAGCAATTCTTTAAAGAAAAAGTTGCTCTAAATCTGAAATCTTATTATAGAAAAAGTTGCTCTAAATTAAAGAAATTTTCTATAAGAAAAGTTGCTCTAAATCTTAGCAATTCTTTAAAGAAAAAGTTGCTCTGAATCTAAAATCTTTTTATAGAAAAAGTTGCTCTAAATTAAAGACATTTTCTATAAGAAAAGTTCTCCGGAAACTTAGCAATTCTTTAAGGGAAAAATTTGTTCAGAAACTAAGGAATTTACTATAAGAAAAGTTGCTTAAAATCTTAGCAATTTATTAAAGAAAAAGTTGCTTAGAAACTGCGGAAATTTCTATAAGAAAAGTTGCTCAGAATCCTAGCAATTCTATAAAGGAAAAGTTGTTTGAAAACTGCTGATTTTTCTATAAGAAAAACTGTTTAAAAACTGAGCAATTCTTTAAAGGGAAAGTTGCTAACAAAATGAACAATTTTCTACAGAAAAATTGCTCAGAATTTTAGTCATTATCTACAGGAAAAGCTCCTCAGAAAGTTGCTCGGAAATTGGGCAAATTTGTATTTGAAAAGTTGTTCAAAACTATGCATTTTTCTATAAGAGAAATTGCTTGGAAACTGAGTAATTTTTCCTAGAAAAAGTTGCTCAGAATATGAGCAATTTTCTGCAGAAAAAGTTGTTTGGAAAATGAGAAATTTTCTATAGAAAAATTTGCTCAAAACCTGATCAATTTTCTAGAGAAAAAATTGCTCAGAAACTAAGCAATTCTCTCACGAAAAGTTTCTCAGAAGCTAAAGACTTTTCTAAGTAAAAGTTGCTCAGAATCTAAGCAATTCTCTACAGGAAAAGATGCTCAGAAGCCGGTATTAAACCAGCCCTTAAACTGAACATTTTTTATAAGAAAAATTTGCTACAAAACTGAGCAGTTTTTTATAGGAAAAGTTGTTAAGAAACTGAGCTATTTTTTATAGGAAAAGTTGTTAAAAAACTGAGAATTTTCTACAGAAAAAATTGCTCAGAAACTAAGCAATTCTCTCACGGAAAGTTTCTCAGAAGCTGAAGACTTTTCTAAGGAAAAGTTGAGCAGAATCTAAGCAATTCTCTACATGAAAAGTTGCTCAGAAGCTGAAGAGTTTTCTAAGTAAAATATGCTCAGAATCTGGTATTATATCAGCCCTTAAACTGAACATTTTTTTAAGAAAAATTGCTACAAAACTGAGCTATTTTTATAGGAAAAGTTGCTTAGAAACTAAAGCTTAGGAACTGAGAAATTTCTGTAATAAAGTTGGTTAAAAACAGAAATTTTCTCAGAAAAGTTCCTCAAAAACTTCACAATTCTCTACAGAAAAAGTTGCTCAGGAGCTTAAACTGGAAAAGTTGCTTAGAAACTAAACAATTTTCTATAGTAAAAGTTGCTCAAAAACAGGACAATTTTCTTTAGTAAAACTTAAGTTAAATTAAAGTTCGGAATTATCCTTGAGACATTAAAATATCACATTTCTTTCCTTAAAACAAACTTTAGCTAATCCAAGAGAATCTAGAATATCAAGAACAGGAAGCCCAAAGACTTAAAACCTTAAGTCAGACATTGCCAACAGATCCCGCTACAGAAAGACTACTTAATGAAATCACCGATCGTATAGATCTACTATTGAGACGTACCCAACAGGGTATTACCATGATAGCGGTAAGTAGAGGATAACGAAATACCAATAAAATCTAGAAGAATTTAAACTAAATTTTTAAAAATTTCTCTAATTTTTACAGAATGCCGCTCATGCCCAAAAGAAACGCACCCAAGAATTGGAAGAATATCAAATTCATTTGGAACAAATTGAAATTTGGATTAAAGAAGTTACACAAGAGCTTAAGAGTTTAGAACTAACAGCCGATAGTCCACAAGATGAACCCACCCTGAAGGCTCAAGTCGAAAAGAGTCAACAGTTATTGCGTACTTTGAAAGAACGTCAACAGTCCTTAGAAGATTTGGTGGAAAAAACGAAACCTTTATTGGCTCATGATGATGTAGCTGAATTGGCTAATAACTTAGTGGAACAATTACAATATGTCATTGTTATACTAAGAGAACAAATAACAGTGGCCACTAAACGTATTTACACCATTGAAACTAGAATTGTGGAATTGAGACGCTCTAAACAAGAGGAAGAACAACGCAAGAGAATTTTGGCGGAACAACAAATACAACCTCCCACACGCCAAACTGAGGAGTCAGTAGAATCAAATGCCAGCACTGTAGACTCCAGTCCAATGCCTGAAGAAGAGGAATTGCCACAGGCTGCCTATACTGTAGAGACACAAACTTCAGCTAGCTTGGAAATGCCTAAGGAAGAACCTAAGGAATATGCTAATGTTGAGGCCCAAACCAGTTTTGCTGCTAGTGCAGCAGTTCCTGTAGAAACTGCCGAAATGTCTATGCAAACTCAAAAGATGGTAAAACCCACTGAAAATATTACTATTACACAAATCCAAAAACAAGATGGTGAGAAGCTTATACAAATCGATACAGTGCCAAATGTTGAAGTGCCCGATGTACCGGAAAATGTTGAAATTGAAGCACGTTATCATCAGAAACCTCAACAGGATGTTGAAAGATCTACCGAGTTAATATTGAAAAATGTGCCGGAAGTTTTCGAAACCACATTTGTAGAACCAGATGAAACTACTACAGAAGTTGTGGTAGGACCAGATGGTACTAAGCATATAATACTAAAGAAAATCACTCGTACACGACAACAAATTGTTCAGCAACAACAAGTGTCTTCACTGGATACAGTAACCGATGCTGAAGGCAATATACAAGTTCAATCAACTGATCAAGTAAATCTGGAAAATATTCAAACTGTAGAGAAGACACATGATGATAAGACGGGATATACAACGGTTATCACTCAACAGACACGTGGCACTTTGGTGGATGGTTCCAATCCGGAAACTGTTATAATTCAAGAATTTGAAACACCACCTGTAGTAGAGAAATATGAAGAACTACATTCTCCAGAAGTAGAAATGCAAGGTGTGCCATTGCATGAAGGTGATGTAGCCTATTTGGATCCACAAAACTTAGGACTGATCGAAGGTTCCACCCAAGGCAGTATTAAGGCTGTTGTACAACAAGTTACCCGTAGAGTTATACGTAAAACACGCAAAATCATCAAGCGTATTGTGGTAATCGATGGCAAAGAACATGTCACCGAAGAAGTTGTTGAAGAACCCGAAGAAATCGAAGTCAATGAAGAACAAATGCCACCCGAAATCAGTGTTAATATAGTGCGCACTGTCAATGGTAAAGTGGTAAGCGAGGAGGAGTACGAACGCCTTATGCAACAACCTAGTGTTGTTGTACAGGAAATATCGACTGATATAACCGATGGTACACGCACAACTCCCTTACAGGTATTTAATATTGATTCTACCACTTTGACCACTACAACAACAACAACCCCCACTGAACCACACGAAACACAACAACAGCAACCAGAACAAGAACAGCCAAAACAAACAACAGAAACTTTCGAACGTCCTCAAACTCAAGCACCCAAAGTAGAAATTGTTGACTTACCTGCACCTAAAGTAGAAATTGAACAAGTTGTTGACACTGTAGTTAAAACACCAACTGCCGATGTCGTCTCAACAAAATCCGATGAAATTGTTTCAGTTGTAACAATTGAAAAGGAGGAACCCAAAGTTGAAGATCTCCAGGAAATATGGCCGGTACAACATCACCTACAGCCAACAGATATTGAATTTTCTAAACATACAGAACCAGTTGCACCAGCAGTTGTTGCTGATGTTGTGCCTACTACACAATTAACCGAACAAATTTGGCCTCTAAATGATGAAACTGGTTATTCGGTTAATTTAGAGAATTATGAATTTGAGAAACATATTCAACAGCCCCTAGAAGAAGATGAACAACCCAAAACATTTACAATTATACCAGCTGAGGAGGAAGAAATTGTCGTTTCGAAATCCGAAGTTGAAACAGTATTAATACCAGAGGTACCCAAGGTCAAACAGGAGGAAATTGTCTCTGTTGAGGAGACAATTGTAAAAGAAGAAATATCTTCTCCTAAATCAGAAGTTGAAACAGTATTAACACCAGAGGAAACTAGGCTTAAACCAGAAGAAATTGTGTCTACCAAACCAGAAACAGTGGAGGAAATTGTATCTCCTAAATCAGAAACAGTATTAACACCTGAGGAATCGAAGGTTGAACCAGAAGAAATTGTCTCTACTAAACCAGAAACAGTTGAGCAACCTCAGATATTGGATACTACAACCGAACCAACGGAAAAGGAAACTAAAGATACTGAAGAGATACATATTACAGAGGTTACATCAGAACAACCTGATACTGAAATTGTTAAGACCACAACCGAAACAACTGTAATCGCTGAAGAGAAACCTCTAAGAGAAACTCAAGAGGTTACTGAACCCGAAAAACCCGATACAGTTGTTGAGAAAATTCCAGAAATGGCTACTATAACAATTGTAAAAACCACTACCGAAACAATTTTGCCCGGCATAGATAAACCTGTAACGGAAAGTGAAGAATTTTCACATCATCTATCGAAAACGCCAACCGATGAACCTATAGAATCTCCCTTCCAAACTGATGACTCTGTGGTTAGCGCTTCCAGTGAAGATCTACTTATTGGAAAATCGCCGAAAGATAAAACAAAATTGGATATTAAAGCCACCACACAGCTTTTTATTTCGGGCGAAGCTACTGCAACTCCTATAACAATGTCCGCACCATCTATTGAAGGCAATGGATCTAGTGTTCTTAAGGTTACTTTGCCCGAAACTGAAGGCTCTGAATTAGCTAATGTACCAGCTAAAATGTCTTTGACTATTGTAGAAACTGGTACTGCCGAAGAGCCCGTCGTGGAGGCCGAACACGATAGCAAGCGAAGTAAAAAGAAAAAGAAGATAAAAGATCCCACGCCAGCGGTTGTGGAACCCAAACCAATTGAGCATTTAGCAGAAAGTGAAGAACTGGCAGCGGTCTCTGAAGTTCCTCACGAACAAAAACTGGAAACTCCCAAAGAGGAAGTTGTAACTGAAGAACCTTTAACACAGCTTGAAGAAAGCTCTGCTGTTTCCGATGTAGGTTATGAGCCAGAAGATAAAACTATGGATGAAGAACAGCAGACTGAGGAAGGTAAAAAGAAAAAACTCAGTAAAAAGAAACAACCCCTCAAGGTTTTAGATGAAGATGATACGCACATGGCTTTAACTTCCTTAGAAACCGATGATGATAAATCGGAAAGTTTGAAATCTGAAGGAAAACTATTCCAAGAATCTATTTTGGAAATCAAACCAGACAGTGAAGTATCAAGTATCTCAGTAGATGAAACAGTTAAAGTGGTGGAAGAAGCTATACTAACACCCGATTCTGAATCCCCACGAGAACCTCTTAAGGAGATAGTTAAGCCTGTAGATGTTATAGAATTATCCTATGTTAAGGATGAAGAACAGCAGACTACACCGCGCCAAGAACCCAAAGAAGAAAAGCCAGAAGTTTCATTAGAGCTAGAGGTTAAGGAAGTTCAAACATCACCAGAGCCTCGTGTGCCACAAGAGGAAGTTTCCATACAAACCACACCTAATAACAGTGAATCGGAGTCTCAAACCATTATTGTTAAAGTAAATGAAACCGAAGTGCAAACAGACCTGGTGGAAGAGGTAAAGCAAGAACCAACTGCGGTCATACCTACAGCAACTTCTGAAGTTCAAACCGAGGATATGCAAGCCAAGCCAGAGATGTCACACACCTCTAGTCAAACGTTTGTTATAACAACTTCAGAACAGGAACTACAAACAACACCACAAGTTGCAACCTCCGAACCCCAAGTCTATACAAGTGATATTGTTAATCCACTTGTTAAGGAGTTTGTTAGTGATATTACATTCGATTTGCCCGAAAAACAGATTGAGACTAAAGAACATGCCACTCTAACCGAAACTGTAACAATACCAGAAGCAGTGCCACAAGAAATGACGGATGTACCAACGCAAACATCATTGATTGAAATAACTCCAACTGAACAAACAGATCAACAAACTTCCACCATAGAGTTTGTGCTAACAACCACCACAACCGATACACAAACCTCACCCAGAGAAGAAGTACTTGAAGTGAAAGAGCCAAGTTTGGAAGATTTCTCAGTAACCTCGACAGAGCCCTATGAATTAGAGATACAAACAACTGTTACCATACCACCAGAGTCGGATGATTCCGAAAGTCAACCTATTGTATATGAACATATTGAAACTATTGAACATCCTAAGAGTAAAGAACCAAAAGATGATGAAACAAATGTTTGTGTTCATTTGGAATTCGGTGAAGATAAGACAGTGGAACCGGTAGTAACGGTACAAACTGCCGAAAAGAAACCCCAAGCAGTACAATTGCAAATTACCAAAACCACTGTAATTGAAGAATTCCCCAATCTACCGGCTCATGTCAGTGAACAAAGTAAGGTTAGCATTTCCTCTCAACAAAGCTCTAAACCACGTAGCCGACCTACCTCAACCGTTACCATCGAAGAGGTTACTTCGCCTACTGAGGAAATTGCAGTTCCTATAACACCGGGACCAGATAATATGCCAGACGAAAGCAGCAACGAAAGCATTTGGATGACTGCTGCTACCATAGCACCCAGAGAGCAATCTGTTAAGGATGTTTCCCAAGCTTTAATCATGTCCGAAAGTCTACTGCATTATCCTGGTCAACAAACTATCATAATCGAAAGACCTGATGTATGGGCCAAGACCAAGCAATCTATTGGAGGTAGAATCACGCAGAAAAAGGAAGTTGAAGTTCAACCCACTCCACTTAGCAATGTCTTGCATTTAGCCACCCTCTCACATCAAATTCAAGAAATACCAACTGAACAAAGAGTTGAAGAAGTAAATGAAAGTTTGAATGACCTAGAGAAGGCTGTTAATAGCGGTGATGAGTTGAAAATTCAAACAACTGTTATAACAGTTATTGAAAAAATATCCACCTGGTTGGAAACCATTGAGTATCGTGTGTATTTGATTAGACAACAAACTAATGATGGTCCTTCCGAAGAAAAACTCAAGAGTTACAATGATCTTAACGAAGAGCTAAATACTATTGGTCAAAGTGTAAATCATTTAGAGGGACATTTGGCTAAAACGAATACCATCAACCAGCCTGAGGTACAACAATGCTTAGATACTCTTAAGATGCACATTAGTGCGGTTGAGGAAAAAACCCAAGACAATCAAAAACAAGACGTTAAGGATCTGGAAAAATGGAATAACTTTTTGGTATTGGTACATCGTATTTCGGGACTTTTGGAAGATCTACAAGAACGTTACGAAGTTATTGTCAATCATGATAGTACTTTGAAACAGAAACTTACTTCATTAGAAGAACTGGAACTGCAGAACAATGATACTATTGTTCAAATCTCTCAGCTGATGTTAAACGCTAGAGCCTTCCAAAGAGATTTCCCTGGCAAGAAGGTACCACAAGATATCTACACTGCCTATGAGTCTTGTCGCAATATTAACAACAACATTATTGCCGAAAGAGATCGTCTCTTGCAATTGCAAGCTTTGGCTGATGAATATGAACAAACCTTGAAAGAGTTCACCAATATCACCGTTTTGGCTGATAAACTAGTTGAAGGTCCCATAATATCCAGCACTTTGGAACAATTGAATAATGAGGTTCAAAAACATCGCAAATTCTTTGTCAATCTTAGTCATTGCCGTGCCATGCTGGAATCGTTGGAGGAGAATATAGATAGTGAAACTCGAGAGAAGCATTCAGAATTACACAAAGAGTTATACAATAGAGCTAATATTCTATTGGAAAAGGCTTCTGAAAGGTCGTCTAAACTAGTGCAGGCCGCTTCAAGATGGACTGTTCTAGAAAAAGGCATGAAGGATGAACAGCAATGGTTACAAGTTGCTCAGCAAAGAGTTCCCGATTTATCGGCGGTAACTTCGGCCGATTATGATCAATACACCACGCTCTATCAATCTTTGAGCCAGGATATATCCCATCACTATGTGAAAATGACCAATCTGTCAAATATTGCCAATAAACTTCAAGACCTGGTCCAAGCTCCCAATCTGGTAGAAGAGACTAATGATGCCCTTATTGTCCTATTGAAATTGCGTGAAGAAGTTTCAGTTTACCTGCATCGCTTACTTGTTTTCAAGGATATTTGGACTCAATATGTCAATCAAACCGACAAAATGGAAGCTTTCGTTAGAGAAAGTGAAAAGGAATTGAAAATGATACAAATACCCGAATATCCTTTGGAACAACCTATCGAGCATATGCGTCAATTCTGGGAAATTAAAGCCCAATTCGAAATGCATAACAATATACGCACCGAAGCGGGCAATACCTTTGAAAAGTCTCTACAGGTGATACCACTTGCCGATGAAATGTTGCAAAGACAATTCCATGCTCAACTCGAGGACAGATGTAATGCTGTAGCAGAAAACATTGAACGTATACAAAACAAAATAGTACGTTCCCTGTCGTCAGAAGATGTAGCACCAGAAGATAAACTGAAATTGATAGAACGTGAACTACAGGAAATCTACTTGACCATGACCAGCATGAAGGGTGTTATCAAGAACGATGAAGAACTTTGTCTCTACATCGAACGCATACAGGTCTTGAGAACACGCGTAGGTTTCATAGGCAATGAATTGGGCCGTATCGGTCTGCAAGAGCCCGCTATTGAACCCGAAAAAGTGGGCGAACTCTTTGCCTTGTCACACAAAATATCCACCCAAATTGCCGAAGAATTGGAAGGAGCCGCTCTATTGCGCCAACAGCTAACCGCCATTCAAGAGGGCATCTCGAATTTGCGCAAACATCAAGCTAAACTATCCGTTATTTTAGATGAATGTGAAAATGCCGAAAAACTAGACAGTGATGCCATTGAAAAGGCTGTACTCGATTGCCAGACTGTCGGCGAAGAGTTAATAGGTGCCTGGCAGGAGATTATGCGTACTCGTCAAATGTTACATACTCTACCAATGCGCCTTAAGATGTCAGTCTCACCGGTTAAACTCGAACGTGATATATCCCAATTGCAGGATGATCATGCCTTCCTCGAGAGCAAATGTACCAATATTATGACAATATTGCGTAATCGCTTAGCTCTTTGGATGCGTTATGAGAAACAATTGGAACTGGTACACAATTCCGTTCAGGAGACCGATTTCATGATGGAGCTTTTGAAGGTTCACGGACAAGTTGATTATGAGCGTTTGCGTAAGGCCACTGAACGTCTAGAGGTGAGTTGTTTTTTTTTTTCCATTTTATCTTGTTTTCTTGTACTTTTATAAACTTGACGTCTTCCATAGGAATTCCATACAAAAAAGTACTATATTTGGTTAACTATTAGAAGTAGAATCGTTAAGTGGGTTTTATATTTATATTGTTTTTAGAGTAGCAAAGCATGCTGGGTATAGCTAGTATGTATATAAAAGCTTAAGATTATGAAAACTTGTTTGGAAATTTAGTTTTTTAAACTTCTTTTAGTTTACGGCGATAAAAATATTGGGAATTTCCCAAATTTTGTTTACTATTAACCAAATTTGTTTTGGTTTCAAACCTTTGGCTTTGTTTTCATAATATAACGGAGTACCTGTGTTCTAAGATAAACAAACATGTTTGTTGTTTACAAAATTTGTTTGTCAAAATAGGTTTTTCTCGCCAATTTCTCTCTCTCGTTCGCCTACCTGATACGATATGTTTTCGTTATTTCGTTAATGACCAGCAATTGTTGTTGTTGGGTTGCGGTATTTAACAAGAAATAAATAATAAGTAGTTGAAATATTAGGCGCTAAATATTTCTGATAAGAGTAGGAAAACAAAATCTAACTAAACTGTTATTAATACAGAGTTTTAGGGGAATTTAAAGATTTGTTCAGATATGTATGGTATGCCGGCAGCTATGGGTAATTAAGTCAATCACATACTAAAACAACAATAAGTTAGTTAATTACATTTTAAAATAGAGAGAGAGAGCAACTAAATAAGAGTAATAGGAATACTTAAACGAAAACACATATTTAACATAGAAGAGGGCAAAGTAGGTAGCTATATAGATACCCTTAGGTGGCAACAACAGACATAATGTCACACATTTTTAGGTATATTTTTATACACATTGTTGTTGTAAGTGTTGTAAATATTGTCTAGCTCACCACTAGCTAGCCAAACAGCCAGTCATATAGAATCCCTATAAGTACTTGTGACCATTTTGAGAAATGAAGTAATCGTTTTTCGCTATTCGTGCTAAAAACAACGCACCGCCAGCAACACCTTAGAATTACAAAAACAAAATAATTTAAAATAAATTACAAAATATTAGTGTTGGAATGTTAAACTTAAAAATCATTTAATAAAACTTATAATTATGCTCTTATTAAGCCAAAGAGAGTTGTTTAACTGATAACGGTAATAAACTAAAAGAGAGCCTTATACAAGCAATAAAAAACAACTACATACATATATAATTGATTGAAATAAAAGAGCCAGAAAAAAAAGATTTTAGTGAAAATAAAACTATTAATAAAAACGGACGTGTTCAAAAAAAAAAGCGGAAGTTAATTTAAAAAAAAAAATTAAATGTTTATTAAGTACTCGTGTTAAAAAATTAAATGTACAAATAACATAATAATGTAATAATTATATTAATAATAACAATTTCAATACAATTTCTTTACCCTTCCTCCCCCCCCCCCAAAAAAAAAAAAAAAGGGACTCGCTGGTGATTTACAAAATCGCGAGACTTTGTTAGACGATTTACAGACGTCGGCAAAACCCTTAATCGAAACTTGTGATTTACAAATTGTTGAACAAATTGAATCTGCGGTTCAAGAAGCTGTAGTGGCCTGGAATGATACCTCCGATAATTTACAAACGTTGTGTGAACGTTATCAACGTGCTGTAGAACTTTGGCATAAATATCGTAACGCATCAGCTCAAGTTAAAAACTACATTGAACAACAAATGGATACAGTTAAGACCTTCAATAAGCCCTTGGAATCGCTGCAACATGCCAAGGTAAGTTGTTTAATAAAAAAAAAAAACAAAAGAAATTTTATTGTTTTATGAAAATTTAATTTAACAAAATGAAAAAAAAACAACTTTAATGATAAGCAATTTAAATGAAACAAATCGGGAAAACAAACCTTTAATATATGAAGTCTTTTAATATGTCGTTTTGTTTACAGTAAAGCTTATCTGTTATAAATTATTAAAAACACTCAGTCCATATAACAGCATCAACAGATGATATTAATTCTTTAAGATACTTTTATATACATATATATATATATATTAGTTCAATGATAAAATTGTACATAATTACTCCCAGATCTTCTATAAGCAACTTCCAATCGTCAGATATGTGTGATAAAAAAAGTTAAATTTCAAAACCGCAAAATTTTAAATCTTTATAAATATAGCACCCAGTGTATAAAATGACTTTTCGGCGCCCTGGCTGTTTAACCCAACTGCCAGAAGCTATAGCATTAACATATTCAAATATTTGAAAACAAAATTTACATAAATAAATATTCTGACATATTATGCTTCTATATACCGGTTTGTTATACAAAAAAAATATTGTGATTCGCTTAAAATAACCCAAAAATAAAATCTCATAAAAACAATCATATTATACTGAGTAATGAGTAAATTTTGTAAAAATAAAACTACACATGTTTTTAAAATGTATGTAATACCCAAATGTAATTATTAGGAAGCAGTACGGAACAATAGAAAATAATAATAGAATAACTTTTTTACGGTTAATAAGATTTGGAATTTACCCTACATGTGTTTAAATTTTGTAAACTAGAACTGAATTAGAACTGAACTAGAACTGAACTAGAACTAAACTAGAACTAAACTAGAACTAAACTAGAACTGAACTGGAACTGAACTAGAACTGAACTAGAACAGAACTAGAACAGAACTAGGACAGAACTAGAACAGAACTAGAACTGAACTAGAACTGAACTAGAACTGAACTAGAACTGAACTAGAACAGAACTAGAACTGAACTAGAACTGAACTAGAACTGAACTAGAACTGAACTAGAACTGAAACTAGAACTGAACTAGAACTGAACTAGACTGAACTAGAACTGAACTAGAACTGAACTAGAACTAGAACTAGACTGACTGAGAACTAGAACTGAACTAGAAACTGAACTAGACCTGAACTAGAACTGAACTAGAACTGAACTAGAACTGAACTAGAAACTGAACTAGAACTGAACTAGAACTGAACTAGAACTGAACTAGAATGACTGAAACTGAACTAGAAACTGAACTGAACTGACTAGACCTGAACTAGAACTGAACTAGAACTGAACTAGAACTGAACTAGAACTGAACTAGAACTGAACTAGAACTGAACTAGAACTGAACTAGAACTGAACTAGAACTGAACTAGAACTGAACTAGAAACTGAACTAGAACTGAACTAGAACCTAGAAATAACTAGAACTGAACTAGAACTGAACTAGAACTGAACTAGAACGAACTAGAAACTGAACTAGAACTGAACTAACTGAACTAGAACTGAACTAGAACTGAACTAGAACTGAACTAGAACTGAACTAGAACTGAACTAGAACTGAACTAGAACTGAACTAGAACTGAACTAGAACTGAACTAGAACTGAACTAGAACTGAACTAGAACTGAACTAGAACTGAACTAGAACTGAACTAGAACTGAACTAGAACTGAACTAGAACTGAACTAGAACTGAACTAGAACTGAACTAGAACTGAACTAGAACTGAACTAGAACTGAACTAGAACTGAACTAGAACTGAACTAGAACTGAACTAGAACTGAACTAGAACTGAACTAGAACTGAACTAGAACTGAATTAGAACTGAACTAGAACTGAACTAGAACTGAACTAGAACTGAACTAGAACTGAACTAGAACTGAACTAGAACTGAACTAGAACTGAACTAGAACTGAACTAGAACTGAACTAGAACTGAACTAGAACTGAACTAGAACTGAACTAGAACTGAACTAGAACTGAACTAGAACTGACCTGAACTAGAACTGAACTAGAACTGAACTAGAACTGAACTAGAACTAACTAGAACTGAACTAGAACTGAACTAGAACTGAACTAGAACTGAACTAGAACTTTACTAGAACTGAACTAGAATGAACTATAACGAACTAGAACTAAACTAGAACTGAACTGAAATTTTGAATCAAATAACAAAAGATGGACCTTAAACTCCCGGTTTAAGCCTTTTATAAACACAATTTATTGACTTTAATACATATTTAAATTCTATTGAAAATTAATTTCGTTACAACTCTATAATGAACTGAACATATCATTCATTTACCCATAGTGAAAAATTAAAAATCCAAACACATTCATTTAACGTGTTTTTTTATGTAGCAAAAAGAGAGTGAGACGTACAACAGCGACTAGGAGTGCATGTCCCATAAAAAAATAGTATAAGGAAAAATCGATAATTTAATTAAATATTATTGGAATTGTGGTATGAGTGGCAGCTGACACAACGCGAACGTTTGTCACTGTTCACAATTTAATCAAAATACAGTGAAATACTATTTCTATTAATTACAAAATCACAGAACAAAAACAAAAATACTAAAAAAAACTACTTGATGCCAACAAAATATATAGAACTTTCACTTTAACACAATAAAACAAAAAGAATTAAATTTATTTTTAAAGGCATGAACTAAATTCCTAGCAAATGCTCTCGTAATTTTTGCTAAATTTAGCCATTTACTGGCAATTGGCATTTTGTAGTACGAGCTCTGTGGGATTGTTTAATTTGTAAATGATTTTTTTTAGTTATTTTAATTAAATCAATTAAACAATTTACTTTTCTATTCAATTTTCAGACTTGCCAAAATAATTTAAATAGCCAGGATGATAAACTCTTAGAACTGCGTGATATAGTTACTAAAATCGCCTCCGATATTGGTTTAGATGCCTCCAATTTCATGCAAGGCGAACTAGAGGAGCTGGGTCAACGTTTGGAAAATTGCAAAGAGACCATTACCACATTGGCTCATGTGGCCGAGGTGCAAGAACGTGAACGCAAAGAAGTTGAACAGAATTGTACCGAAGCCAAGGAATACTTTAATAATGTTCGTCAGGTAAGTTTTCCTTTCTTTTTTTTCAAATAATATTTAAATTATTTATAATTGTTTTTAATTGTTCGTCTAATTGCGGGTGTTTTTCATGCAACATGCAAAATTTTAACTTAATTGCATATAGAATTTAGATTTTTAAGTAATTTTGGAGTTTAAAATGAAACAACTAAGAATTATTTTTTTTAGTATAAATTGTTATTAGAACCAAATATGAGTTTGTGTTAATATCCTTGACTGCTGTAATAGTTGTTCTTACTTTAACATGTGTGTTTTGAATTGAAGCAAAATTAGCACACATATTTTTTTTAACTTTGGCACACAAAACTCTCACAATACTTGGATTAATAAATCCCTGACCTAACAGTGAAAGTGGATTTTTTTTATTTAAAGTTAAAGTTTTAAAGACTTTTTAGAAAGCAGACATCGGCAGAGAGACAATGGGCTCTCCTATTGGTTTTGTTTCCTTTATGATATGGGGTGTGAGACTGAACTAGAACTGAACTAGACTGAACTAGAACTGAACTAGAACTGAACTAGAACTGAACTAGAACTGAACTAGAACTGAACTAGAACTGAACTAGAACTGAACTAGAACTGACTAGAACTGAACTAGAACTGAACTAGAACTGAACTAGAACTGAACTAGAACTGAACTAGAACTGAACTAGAACTGAACTAGAACTGAACTAGAACTGAACTAGAACTGAACTAGAACTGAACTAGAACTGAACTAGAACTGAACTAGAACTGAACTAGAACTGAACTAGAACTGAACTAGAACTGAACTAGAACTGAACTAGAACTGAACTAGAACTGAACTAGAACTGAACTAGAACTGAACTAGAACTGAACTAGAACTGAACTAGAACTGAACTAGAACTGAACTAGAACTGAACTAGAACTGAACTAGAACTGAACTAGAACTGAACTAGAACTGAACTAGAACTGAACTAGAACTGAACTAGAACTGAACTAGAACTGAACTAGAACTGAACTAGAACTGAACTAGAACTGAACTAGAACTGAACTAGAACTGAACTAGAACTGAACTAGAACTGAACTAGAACTGAACTAGAACTGAACTAGAACTGAAACTAGAACTGAACTAGAACTGAACTAGAACTGAACTAGAACTGAACTAGAACTGAACTAGAACTGAACTAGAACTGAACTAGAACTGAACTAGAACTGAACTAGAACTGAACTAGAACTGAACTAGAACTGAACTAGAACTGAACTAGAACTGAACTAGAACTGAACTAGAACTGAACTAGAACTGAACTAGAACTGAACTAGAACTGAACTAGAACTGAACTAGAACTGAACTAGAACTGAACTAGAACTGAACTAGAACTGAACTAGAACTGAACTAGAACTGAACTAGAACTGAACTAGAACTGAAGAAACTAGAACTGAACTAGAACTGAACTAGAACTGAACTAGAACTGAACTAGAACTGAACTAGAACTGAACTAGAACTGAACTAGAACTGAACTAGAACTGAACTAGAACTGAACTAGAACTGAACTAGAACTGAACTAGAACTGAACTAGAACTGAACTAGAACTGAACTAGAACTGAACTAGAACTGAACTAGAACTGAACTAGAACTGAACTAGAACTGAACTAGAACTGAACTAGAACTGAACTAGAACTGAACTAGAACTGAACTAGAACTGAACTAGAACTGAACTAGAACTGAACTAAACTGAACTAGAACTGAACTAGAACTGAACTAGAACTGAACTAGAACTGAACTAGAACTGAACTAGAACTGAACTAGAACTGAACTAGAACTGAACTAGAACTGAACTAGAACTGAACTAGAACTGAACTAGAACTGAACTGAACTAGAACTGAACTAGAACTGAACTAGAACTGAACTAGAACTGAACTAGAACTGAACTAGAACTGAACTAGAACTGAACTAGAACTGAACTAGAACTGAACTAGAACTGAACTAGAACTGAACTAGAACTGAACTAGAACTGAACTAGAACTGAACTAGAACTGAACTAGAACTGAACTAGAACTGAACTAGAACTGAACTAGAACTGAACTAGAACTGAACTAGAACTGAACTAGAACTGAACTAGAACTGAACTAGAACTGAACTAGAACTGAACTAGAACTGAACTAGAACTGAACTAGAACTGAACTAGAACTGAACTAGAACTGAACTAGAACTGAACTAGAACTGAACTAGAACTGAACTAGAACTGAACTAGAACTGAACTAGAACTGAACTAGAACTGAACTAGAACTGAACTAGAACTGAACTAGAACTGAACTAGAACTGAACTAGAACTGAACTAGAACTGAACTAGAACTGAACTAGAACTGAACTAGAACTGAACTAGAACTGAACTAGAACTGAACTAGAACTGAACTAGAACTGAACTAGAACTAGAACTGAACTAGAACTGAACTAGAACTGAACTAGAACTGAACTGAACTAGAACTGAACTAGAAGAACTTGAACTAGAATTGAACTAGAACTGAACTAGAACTGAACTAGAACTGAACTAGAACTGAACTAGATCTGAACTAGAACTGAACTAGAACTGAACTAGAACTGAACTAGAACTGAACTAGAACTGAACTAGAACTGAACTAGAACAGAAGTAGAACCAAAATTGATTAAGGAGCAATAACTCTTGAGGACTTTTAGAACCTTGATAATTCCAGAAATATGCGTGTTTATGTTTATTATTAAAATTTGACGTCAGTCAATGAATATCTTTTCATTAATTCTGTTTAGATACCAATGACCACACAATAACCCAGCAGTTTTACAACTGATCAATGTATCCTTTTTTGATAGCACATCTAAATGTTTCACAAAGCAGGATGTAAAAAACAAATCAATTGATTACTTTAACGTCTATAGATTATCTAGAGTGTAAACAATTTTTACTGAACCTTACAAATTAGTAATCCAGAAGTAATCTGTAGCTGATCTTTATTTATAATCTATAGAAAATACTATAGACTTTCGTCAAAGTTCGGGCACCCCGAATTACTGGGAGTTCTTCACTTCCATTCATATGTAGATATATGTATTGTATGTTACTACTTCTGGCACACACTCGACCAAAAACGACTAATTATTTCGTAGGCCTGATGGCCTCACAAAACTACAACTTTACAAACAAAAACAAATACATAAATACAAAAAAGTATGAACACATATGTACATATGTATGTGTCTATGTATAAGTATAATTTAAGTTAGTGCGCCACTTGCCGTAGTGTTTCCACATATTGATTTAAGTTAAAATTGTATATGAGGTCATTGTAAGTCTGAAAGTTCTAATATTTATTATTATTGTTGTTTGTAAAGAACAGGAAATACTATACTTACTAGCAACATAACACACTGATACCAAAAAGGTGTAAATATAATATTTTTAGAATACCCCTTAGTATTTGTTGCATGAACACAGCAAGTAGTAGTAGCAAGTCACAGGTTAATTTGAAATATTATTATTAAATCAAACTTTAACATTTATTTTAGGATCTGGCCCAGGAGACACGCTCACCCAAGGAGTGTGAGGAACAATTGACGGTTTTAAGAAGTCATTTACAAACCCTGGCCAATACCGAAGAACAATTAAAACAATTGCGAGAACGTGACATAGAGTCACCCGCCGAAGAACTGCAATCTCGCGATGAAACCTCAATTATTGAAGTATTGGAACTGTGGCAAAAGATCTTCCAGGATACGTTCCATGAATACCATCGTCTGTCGGCTAGATTGGTGCGCACACAAAACAGTACTGAAGCCTTCCGTTTGTGGCGTCAATACTTGCAACATGTACACTCCTTCCTCTCCAGTGCCATACCCGAAGATTATACCGCTCTCAAAGAACAACAGCATTTGTGTGAGATTCATGAGAATCTAATGGTGTCACAGCAAAATGTTTTGGCCTCCCATACAGAAGCTGAACAGCAAGTGGAGCCCGAGGTTAGTGAACAGTTTAAACAACTAACCAACATGCACAATGAAACCCTGGCACGCATTACTCAGCGTAACAGTGAGTTGGAGAGACGTATCAATATATGGCGCACCTATAGACAAGATTTAACGGTACTATTGGAATGGCTAAAGGAACGTGAGAAGGACCGCAATGCTTTGCAATTAAGATATATACACCTCAAACGTTTGCCACGCCTACGTCAGCGCTTGGATGAGTTAATCAATCAAGTACCTGTAGGTGAACAAATGGCCAACAAGCTTAAAGCTCAACAGCAAGAACTCATCAAGTTCTGTGATGATGCCTTAGCTACTTCGGTGCGCATGGAACAAGCTAGTGTAGTGCAGCGTGTAACAAATCTTAAGGCTGCTTTGGAAACCTGGTTTGGTTTCTTGCAAAAGATTAAGGATTTGGAACACAGCTATGAACAACAGCTAACAGAGGTGCAAAGTGATTTAGCTGTAGCCCAAGAATTAGTGCAAAAGACTGAAGAATCTCTACCCACCAATGCCGATGCGATACAAGAATGTTTGGGTCAACTTAGAGCCCAAAGAGTTCAATTATCCAAACATACTCCTACTCTGGAAAACCTGAATGTTTTACAAGAGGAACTTAAAGAATGTATTAGTCCCCATGACATGAAGACTATCAGACAAACTATATGGATCTTATGGCAACAACATGCCGACTTGGACTATGAACTGTCTACTCTTATCAATAAAATAGAGGAAAGACTAATGTTGTTGGCCAACTTTAATAACCGTTACGAACGTTTATCCAAATGGTTGGATAAATTGGAGGAACGTTTGGAAAGAACTTCCGATATTTCTGCCATGGCTAATCCTGAGGAATTTGCCAAACAACTGGAAAAACAAATAAATACCGAACTAACACTCAGGGAACGTGATCGTGAATGGTTGCTTTCCTCAGCCCGCGAAATAATGGAATTGTATGCCGACAATAGCCAACATAGTGAAACGGTAAGATCCGAGGTCCAAGAGAAATCCGACATGCTAATCGATAGATGGGATCGTGTACGTTATTTGTGTAAACAACGTACTAACAAAATCAACGATTTGAAAATGACGCTACATAGACTGGAGGAAAGAATAGCTTTACTCAGATCTTGGATGTTTGAGGTGGAATCTGAGTTGGGTAAACCTTTAACCTTTGATTCCTATACCCCGCCTGTTATTGAAAACAAATTGAAAGAACACGAAAAGGTGCAACGTTCCATCGAACAAAAGTCTAGTAATGTGGGTGAGGTCTTAAATCTGGTGGAAATGTTGCTAAACGATGCCGATGCTTGGCGCAGCCATTTAAATACAGCCAATTTAGCTTTGGCCGCCCAAAACCTAGAACAAAGATGGAAACATGTGTGCAGTCAATCGGCCGAAAGAAAACAACGCATACTCACAGTTTGGAATATGATACAACAATTGATTAAAATGACCACAGAAAATAAGAACTGGATACAAAATCAGGAAACCGAAATTGCCAACTTGGAAAGAGATCTCGATAAATTATCGAAGGAACAAGTGCAGGAAAGACAACAATTGGTAGAGCAAAAACTTCAACAATTGGAAAGTCAACAAGGCAATTTCAATCAATTAAGTCAAACTTATGCCAAATTAACCTCCAGTTCTGGAGTTGATCCAGAAAATATACAAAAACTAACCATGCCCACTAAGATGATGTTAGGCAAATGGCGTCAGCTGCAACCCAGATGTCATGCCATTACCGACATCATTAATAAAGATTTGGCTTTGTATAGAAATTTCAAGAAAGCTCAAGATGAGGCCGTTAATACTCTACAACTCCTACAGACAGATGTGGCTAAACTAAACGAAAGCTCTAGTAAAACTCCAGAGGAAACTAAGAAAGCTCTTAAGCGTATAGAAAGTCTCGAGGGTAAATTGCTAAAGGCTGAGCAACAGGTGCAAGCTGTGGAACAATTGGCTACTGATGCTAAGGTTAAATTAAGAAAACAAGAAGATATTACCACCATAATGACCCTAATAACACAATTGACTACCTTGTGGCGTGAAGTACAAACACGTATTGTAACAACAAAAACTGAATGTTTAGCCAAGGCTTTACCCTTAGGAGTAGCAGCTGGTGAAACACTCATTAGCGCTACTAAAGTAAACGAATCAGAAGCAGGCGTACAAGTAGATACATTATCCAAACGCAAACTACGCAAGGCGCCCATGGTGCGTGAAACTTCTATAACTGCCAAAGATGCCTATATAATGGAATTGGAAACTGCCATCACCGAATGCCAGAGTAATTTGGATGATTTGCAAAAGACCATTTGTGATAAGACACGCAAGCCGGGTCCACAAAAAATGTCCAAACTCTTGGGCAATGCACAATCATCGACAGAGCTGGTCAAACATTTAAGTCAAATGCTATTAAGTGAATGTAATGCCTCCAATAAGGATGCCCAAACAGACACCGTGGCAGAGCTAACGCTGCGCTTCGATACTTTGCAATCGCAATGGAAGGCGCGTCAGCAACACGATCAAAATGCAAGGTAAGTGTTTTTTTGAAAGATTTCCGTTTAGTTTTTTTAAAAAAAATTTAAAACTTACTGAAGATATTGATACTTTGCTTATAAGCTTTTAGTAATTAAAAGTTTTAGTATTGAGTTGTATCAACATTTCAGTAGTTTTCTTTTTTAATGCTTCAATATAACGGTGTTGGTTACTAACTTTTGTTTATTGTATACATTTTTTTTGCTTTATTCTTATACAAAATCATTACATTGGTACTCTTTAACACAAATGAACCAATTCAAAAAAATATATATCACATCTACACACAAACACGCTTTATCTGGCCTTTAGCAACTTACCCATTGCTTCCAAGTATAGTTGTACACAGTAAGTTTTATTTATATCATACATCCATCAAAGTTATTTTATATAGAAATTTTGAAAATTTCACATTTTTTGCTGAATTATTAAAAGATTTTCAAAAGTATATTATGGGTTTTAGGAAGTTTCCTATTGAATTGTAGTTGTAGTTAAGAAATTTTGAAAGTTTTGACTTATATTTGAAGATGTTAAAGTTTCTAACCTAAAATCTGAAACTTTGATCATAATAAAAGCAAAGAAAAGACCTTCCGAAAGATCTGCTGAAGCACTATAACATTTCCAGGGAATTTTCAGAAGTTTCATATTGAATTTTCCAAAGTTTCTAGTTCTAGTTGAGAAATTTTTAAAGTTTTACATTATATTTGGAAATATTGAAGTTTTTACCCTAACATCTTAATCATTGATCATAAATAAATCCAAAGAAAAGATCTTCTGAATCACTATAACATTTCCAATGATTCTCAAAAGTTTCCAATTGAATTTTCTTAAGTTTTTAGATGTAATTGATCTGAATTGATTGATCATTATAAAACCAACCAAAAATATCTTCTGAAAGATCAGCTGAATCACTATAACATTTCCAATGGATTTCCACAAGTTTCTAATGGATATTCTGAAGTATCCTATTGAGTTTTCGTAAGTTTCTAGTTGTAGTTTAGAAATTTCGAAAATTTTTAATTATATTTGGAAATATTGAAATTTTTAACCTAAAATCTGAAACATTAATCATAAAAAAAATCCAAAGAAGAGATCTTCTGAAAGATCTGCTGAAGCACTATAACATATCCAATTGATTTTCAGAAGTTTCTTATCGGTTTTTAGATGTTTCCAATTGATTTTTCGAAAGTTTCTAGTTGTAGTTGATCATTGAATTAGTTGATCATTATAAAATCAAAGAAAAGATCTTCTAAAAGATCTGCAGAAGCTCCTAATTGAGTTCTTAAGAAAATGCGGAATCTATGAAGAAGTCCTGCCAGCAAAAATGTGAAATTTTCAGTTCAAACATACATTTACAACTAGAATTAGAGTTAATTTTTTTAAAAATCGACATTTGGACTCTAAACCCTAAAGATGGCGGGTTTAGTTTCCAGGAGTCATTAACTAAAATCACAATATAATAAGTTATTTAAGCAAACCAATTAACCCCAATAATTATATTAAATTTCAACAAAATTCTAATCTCTTCACTTTTTTTTACCCTCCCCCCAAAAAAAAAACAGCGAGATCGGTCGACTGACATGTCCGCTCTGTACACAACGCAACTGGCAACAAATCGACAATGATCTCTGGCGTCTCGAACAGTGGTTACAATTTGCCGAAGGTACACAAAAATCTCAGGCATCACCACCCTCAAATATCGAGCTACTCGAAGATGTTGTACAAGATCATCGTGAATTCCTGCTCGATTTAGAAAGTCACAAATCGATCATATCCTCCCTGAATGTGGTGGGTGATCATTTAGCTACACACACTATGGATCACGAAAAGGCCCGTCAATTGAGAGCACGTCTCGAACAGGATAATGAACGTTGGAATAATGTCTGTATTAATGCCACTAAATGGCAGGGACTACTACAGACGGCACTCATGGGTAATAGTGAATTCCATGCCATCATAGATGAGCTATGTACTTGGCTGCAACAAACCGAGGCTAATATTAAGGCCTCAGAACCCGTCGATCTAACAGAGGATCGTGCCATACTCAAGGCGAAATTTGATAAATTCAAAGAATTACGTGCCGAACTAGAACGTTGTGAACCGCGCGTAGTTAGTCTACAAGATGCAGCCGATCAGCTGCTTAAAACGGTCGAAGGTTCAGAGGCTGAATCATCACAAACCTATGCCAGGTAAGTTGGCTAAAGGCCAAATTACAGGGGCGGCACGATTGAAATTTTCAACGGGGATTTAAGCATTTAAATTGTAAATGTGTTGTTGTCGTATTCGAAAATAATAATAATGTCGTTGTATGTAGTAATATAGTCTAAGTAGTTTGTATATTAGTTTTATAAAGTAGTTGCAAAATCTACTACTTACTCTCTTTGTAGTTTGAAAATGGCGATGATTTCGAGATTTATTTTTTCATGATTTCTTTTTATTTTATTCTTATTCTTCTTTTTTTTAGCTGTTCTCTACGTTTTCGTTTTACACAAGCAATTGTTATACGTGTGTATTTTATAATTATTTTTTCTTAAATTTAATTGTTTTAGTTTTTTCTTTTTTAAATTTTCAAGTGTACAAACATTACACTCAAAAAACAGTGTGTTATTTTAGTGACATATATGTCTGTGATAACGTTATTATGATCTCTCTTTCTCTGCGAGTCTGAGCTATAAGGAGGCATTGGCAGAGAACGAAAGAAGAAGCTCTATTACTTATTTTAGAGTTTACCATGCTATTCACCAGCTAGTAACTGTGTTAGAGTTATGTTAAGAGCGCTCTTTGCTTATCTCTACTTTAAAGCAGATATAGGCAAAGAGCTCTCTCATTAGCTTTCTTCACATGTTGCTGTAACACATACTTAAGCTCATACTTATACAAAAACAAACAAATCACTTTAGAGAGCTCTTTTAGCACTCCTTGCTTATGTTTGCTTTAAAGCAGCCATAGGCAGGCAGTAAAAACTTTGCTCTCTCACTAGTTTTGTTTGCTTTTTATACATGTGAGAGCAAGGTATAAAGAAGCTCACATACTTAAGCTCATACTTATACACAAACAAACAAATCACTTTAGAGAGCTCTTTTAGCACTCCTTGCTTATGTTTGCTTTAAAGCAGCCATAGGCAGAGAGTAACAACTTTGCTCTCTCACTAGTTTTGTTTGCTTTTTATACATGTGAGAGCAAAGTATAAAGAAGCTCTTGTAACACACTCTGCCAATGTCTGCTTTTTAGTTATAACTCTCGCAATAGAGAGATCATTGTGTTTTGCTCTCATAATTAAAGATTTTATCACAGCATGTTCAAGAAAAAAAAAGTGCCAACTTCCAAAATCTTACATACACTTCGTTCTCAACCCAACTATATAAGATCTGCTAAGTATATATTTAAAAAAATACCCAACATTCAAAACAGTTAAGGTATTTTTCAAAATATTTACTCAAACTCCCGCATCGCCTCTCAACAGAGTTTCCGAAACTGCACTTTGACATATGTCAGTTTATAACTCAATACTGTTTTCAAAAAACTCTCTAAATATAAACTACTTATAAATACATACAAATCTATTGTAATCTGTTGAAATGTTTTGTTTAAATTCTTCATATCAAGTCCATGTTAAAACATTTGAACTCTATAACTCGTTTTCTCATAAAAGTCGCCAGTGTTTTCATATCATTGTTGACATTTACAAATTTCAATTGTGTTTTTGTTATATTTATTAAATTTTTTTAATGCAATTGTTTTTATTATTAAATTTGCTTTAACTTAAACCTTTTTTAATCATTCTTATCCATTTTCCATTTACAAAAAAAAAAAAAACCGTTTTGTTTTGTCTTCATTACCTCTAAAATTTTTTTCTAAATTATTTGCTTTTTTATACATTTACATATAAAATACAACCAATGTCTTGCGTTATGTTTTTTTTTATTAAATTCCTGCACATTTAAAAAATAAACTTAATTTACTTTATTTTTTTGCAATTTTTGTTTGAACTCGAAATTTTTTCGTCCGCCCATTCTAACCCCTCATTTACCTTTAAACTCAAGAGCTTTACAACACCAGCATTAAATTTAAGAACCCTTTCTAGGCTAACCGATCTGCGTTTCCGCTTACAATCCCTAAGACGTCTATCGGGCATTTATATTGTAAAACTTGGTGCCGTTTTGGGTGTTGATGGTGATAATCTGGGAGTCTCCTTACATATGTTGTCTAATGAGGTAAGTTTTACATTAAAGTTATTTTTTGTTGCCATAATGATCATTATAATGATTTATACTTTTTTAAAAAAATATTTATTTTATGCACTTATCGATTTTGAAAAATTTTAAGAAAATTAGTTTGTTACCGAAGTTTGGGAATAACAATTGGAATTAATTAATTAATGTTATTGAGAATTTTGCTAACGATATTCTTTATTATTCTATTGTTATTCTTTTATCTTTTGGTTGATTAAAGTATTAAAGCACAGTCTAGATTTGAAAGTTCAACTTCACTTTAAACTAGTTAAATTGTCTCTTTCTAGAACGAATCGAATCAAAGAATCTTGGTTTTTAAGGCCCTATAGCTCCTACCGTTTGGGCTATAGGCTATAGTTCAGTTCTAAGTAATATCTAGTTATGTTCTAGTTCAGTTCTAGTTCAGTTCTAGTTCTAGTTCAGTTCTAGTTCAGTTCTAGTTCAGTTCTAGTTCAGTTCTAGTTCAGTTCTAGTTCAGTTCTAGTTCAGTTCTAGTTCAGTTCTAGTTCAGTTCTAGTTCAGTTCTAGTTCAGTTCTAGTTCAGTTCTAGTTCAGTTCTAGTTCAGTTCTAGTTCAGTTCTAGTTCAGTTCTAGTTCAGTTCTAGTTCAGTTCTAGTTCAGTTCTAGTTCAGTTCTAGTTCAGTTCTAGTTCAGTTCTAGTTCAGTTCTAGTTCAGTTCTAGTCAGTTCTCGTTCAGTTCTAGTTCAGTTCTAGTTCAGTTCTAGTTCAGTTCTAGTTCAGTTCTAGTTCAGTTCTAGTTCAGTTCTAGTTCAGTTCTAGTTCAGTCTAGTCAGTTCTAGTTCAGTTCTAGTTCAGTTCTAGTTCAGTTCTAGTTCAGTTCTAGTTCATTTCTAGTTCAGTTCTAGTTCAGTTCTAGTTCAGTTTAATACTGTTCTAGTTCAGTTCTAGTTCAGTTCTAGTTCAGTTCTAGTTCAGTTCTAGTTCATTTCTAGTTCAGTTCTAGTTCAGTTCTAGTTCAAGTTCTAGTTCAGTTCTAGTTCCAGTTCTAGTTCTAGTTCTAGTTCAGTTCTAGTAAGTTCTAGTTCAGTTCTAGTTCAGTTCTAGTTCAGTTCTAGTTCAGTTCTAGTTCAGTTCTAGTTTCAGTATTCAGTTCTAGTTCAGTTCTAGTTCAGTTCTAGTTCAGTCTAGTTCAGTTTTAGTTCAGTTCTAGTTCAGTTCTAGTTCAGTTCTAGTTCAGTTCTAGTTCAGTTCTAGTTCAGTTCTAGTTCAGTTCTAGTTCAGTTCTAGTTCAGTTTCTAGTTCAGTTCTAGTTCAGTTCTAGTTCAGTTCTAGTCAGTTGTAGTTTCAGTTCTAGTTCAGTTCTAGTTCAGTTCTAGTTTAGTTCTAGTTCAGTTTTAGTACAGTTCTAGTACAGTTCTAGTACAGTTCTTTTTCAGTTCTAGTTCCGTATAGTTTCCATCTCAAAATGTTATACTTCTTCCAGAAGAGGTGCTCTCAAAAATCTATGCTGTGCCTAATAGTTACTAAGAAAAGTAATTAGGTATATATTAAGTTTTTTTTATAATTTAATAAAATTTTTTTTTATTTTTATGATTTATTTATTTATATTTTTCTTTTTTTTATAATTTTTATTTTTGAAACAGCTTTTGGATCAATCTGTAACTTCATTACCTTCTTCCTCTTCTATGCAGGCTGCCGCACCAAACACTGATAATGCAAAGTAAATATTGTTGTCTAAAGTAGTGGTAGTTAAAAATTTATGATTTTTTTTGTAAAGAAATAATTAAATTATAAACAAATAATTTTGCACAATTAAAAACACCATTTTATAACTAGTGTTTGATAAAAAAAATGTTTATTTAAAAATTGTATTAAAATTAAAACTAATTTTATATTTTTGTTTTGTTTTTGTGTTAAAATAATAATTAGCGCTCACGAGGGCGATGCTGTAGATGGCGATGTCATAAATACCACCGTACTTGCACGAGGCGCTCGCTTCCTAGGACGTGTTGCTCGTGCCTCACTGCCCATACAAGCGCTCATGTTACTGTTGTTGGGTGTTGCCACACTTGTGCCCCACGGTGAAGACTACACCTGCATGTTTTCGAATACCTTTGCCAGAAGTCTAGAGCCTATGTTGTCGT